GGATCCTATACAAACTCATACATTCACAGGTGTGGGGATTTGTGTAGGTCTTGGATTATTCTCTGTGATGTCAGGGGTCTACTGCAAAAAGACCAGGCAGGGGGCACCTGGGTGGTTCAGTTGGTTAAGCGACTGCCTTTGGCTCAGGTCATGATCCTGGAGTCCCGGAATCAAGTCCCACATCAGGCTCTTTGCTCGGCGGGGAGTCTGCTTCTCCCTCTGACCCTTCCCCCTCTCATGCTCTCTCTCTCTCTCAAATAAATAAAATCTTAAAAAAAAAAAAAAAAAAAAAAAGCCAGGCAGGTAACATCAATGAGCAAAAGGAGCAGGATTCAAGAAAAAGACCACTGTCAGCACACTGATTAATGCAAGCTGACACCTGGCTTCAGTCGCTTCAGTGTTGTGAATAAGAGGAGTAGAAGGAACTATAATGCACTGGAGTGTGCGCACCCCAACCGGAGAGCTACCTGGGGCCAGTCAGTTGCTGCCAGGGATTGTGGATCTCATGTATTTTTTTAAAAGCAGCTGGCAGTTTAGGTTTTTATGTGAATATTTCCAATAAAAAATGTGGCAGCTAGTTCATTTAAAACTAACATTGCACAAACCAGATACATGTGCAAGCCAGGATTTGGCCATGGCCTACCAGTTTGCTACCCCTAGGCTGTTGTTTTCAGGTCTCTCCCCCTTTGTGAGATCCAGGAACCTAGAACCCTGTGAAAGGAATATATACATTCATAGTTAAAGAACACATTGAAAGCTAAGGGCTTAAAAATGTCAGAGAATCAACAGAAGTGAAATTCATTCATTCCTCAGTATTTACTACATGCCCTATTATGGGGTCAGGCATAGTTGTAGGATTAGGTGAGGGGCATACGATAATGAATAAACCACTTTTTGCTGCTCTCTTGAAGCTTATATTCTTATGAGTAAGAGAGTCAATGATAAAGCAAAATAAGGTAATTTCAGATAGTGGTATTAGGAAAAAATTAGTGCTAAGGAATAGAACATGATGGGAGAGGTGTCTAGAGATGCTTATTTTAGATAGGGTGCGAAAGCAGCCCCCTGTGTAGAGAAGGGCACGCGGATGATGAGGCCTATGACATAAGATTTGGGAGAGCATCCCAAGTAGGAAGGCCAAGTGCAAAGGCTCAGGAATAGATGTGCATATTTGAAAAGGAGAGAGGTTGGTTCATGAAGAGGCTGATAAGGATTGGATTATGTACAGCCAGAGTCAAGGGTTTGTATTTTATTTAAAGTGAAAGGGGAAACCATTGGAAGCATATGTTAGAGGAACATGTGATGAACGTTTTAAATAGATCATTAGCTGCTGTTTGAAAGATTGTGGCCAAGGCATAGACAGAAACGCTGCTACTGCGTAGTGTTGAGGTGATAGCTGATGTAGGGATAGGAATGGGGTGACATATAAAAGCAGGCAGGCTAGCAATTTCCTCTGTACTTGGAACTGGGTTAGAAGTACAATAAGCAGGGGTGGCAAAAACAGAAGGGTCAAGAGAACACCTGGAATCAGAGGGCCCAGTGTTTTCATGAAAATCTTGTCCAGAATCAGATCTAATTTCATTGAAGTAGCATTTAGAATGAAATTACTGTATTTTGAACTGTGTTCATAGGAAATGTAAAATTTAAACTCTTCTAAATAGTTGGGATGCTTTCTTATAAGAATTGTTTGAATTGGGGCGCCTGGGTGGCTCAGTCGTTAAGCGTCTGCCTTCGGCTCAGGTCATGGTCCCAGGGTCCTGGGATCGAGCCCCGCATCGGGCTCCCTGCTCGGCGGGAAGCCTGCTTCTCCCTCTCCCACTCCCCCTGCTTGTGTTCCCTCTCTCGCTGTGTCTCTGTCAAATAAATAAATAAAATCTTAAAAAAAAAAAAAAAAAAAGGTTTGAATTGCAGAGCTAAAAAGAGAACCCTATATTTGCCTAATATATACTAGAACAAAATGCTGTGAGTTAAGGCCAAGTCCCCTTAGTAGAGGAGTATCTCAGATTCAGAGATGACAGGGAAGTCCATGTTCCTTTCATTCAAGCAATGAACAAAGTCAAGCTGTGACTTCCAGCCACACACATAGCTACTCTAGGGGACATGCAAGGATCAAGGCCCACACAATGAATACTGCTCCCCTCCCAATTTTCCCAGTGGGGGTAGTGATGGTTTTCCTTATCAAACCACATGTACATTTTCTCTCTCCCAGCTAAACTAAGCTCCCAATATGCCTATGCTTTTAACATGAATTCTGGAAAAATCTGGTCTTTAAAAAACTTCACTGTTATCTATTACAGCCCTAAGAAATGGCTCTTAGGACAATGAGTATTATTATGAAATTATCTTGTTTTTGGAAACCTTCATGAGAGCTACCTTTACATTTTTAAAGATGGGTTTTGATGCAGGTTGTGGGCATAATAATGTGGTTACAGATGGTAACAGTGACAATATTTAAAGCTTTATAAAACAGCAAAACTTAGAGTCTCAGTAAAAAAGTAGTAATTTTGATGATATGGAAAGGTGAAAAGAGTTTCACTGGTCTTCCTTTAGGGTTAAGATACCAATCATAAAGGACAAATATAATACTCCATACCATGAAAGGACTTAAGTATTAAGAATCAGGATCATTAGAACAAATACTAAACAATTCATCTGCATTAAACTTATGGCTGTACAGAGGAAACACAAAATGAGAGAACATATACACAATTGGGAAATATGCACAAAGCTGTCAAGGTGCAGGCACTAATGGATTAAGAATCAGGAACTCAGTGAAATAGCTAGTGAATGAGGCAGCAGTCTAGTAACAGTTCTAGAATAACACATAGCCTGGATCCCCAGACTTCTAAATTTCAGACTAGTAAAAAAAAGTTATCAAATTTGAATCTCAAATCTTGAGATCTATTAAGTTTACAATACAGGAGACAGAAAAGTATGTCCAGGGTTCCACAGGGTTACAATGAGCAAGCCCAGAATACAAAAATGTCCTCCGAACAATTTTAAGGGAAAAAGGATGGGAGAATCTGTGATTAAAACCAATGTAACATATATGAACTTCGCCTGAACATCCCAATTATTAAAAAAATTAGAGATAGTAAGGAAAATCTGGGTATTGACTGGGTAGTTAGGCAGTACTGTTAATTTTTTTAAGTATAATAAAAGTATTGTGGTTGTATTTAAATCCTTACCTTTTAGACTGAAATAGCTGGAGATGAAATCAGTTGTCTGGGATTTTCTTCCAAATAAGCGTGAAGTGGAATGGTGAATTGGTAGGTGTGAACAAGGTAGGCTGACTATGAATTGATTATTATTTTTGGAGCTTAGAAATGGGTTATCGTACTACTTCTACTTGAAATTTTCCTTAATACAAATTCAAAAATTGATACTCAGTTTTTAAATTCAGGTACAGCAGCAGCAGGATGTCAACTTCTTGACAAAAACCTAGAAAACGGAGTGGTTTTTTTTTGCCTGTTGCACAAGGCAAAAATTAGGGTACCTGAAAATAGACATCTTTGCAAAGCCATCTCTGACATACAGATCTCACCCCCCATGCAGTGTATTCTCTGCATCTTCCATCTTCACAAACCTCACCCATGGTGCTCTTTCCAAACAAGGTTAAGTAAAGTAGGTAAAAATTTAAGCACTATTAAGAATTCAAGATTAATCTGTTAAACAGGGCCTTTGTTGACTTCTGCCTTTGCCTTATTTCAATGCCTGTCTTGTAAATAAACGGTTTCCTGTTTATAGTTTAGGCTTTTAAGAAACAGTTACAGTTCAGCAATATGTATTACAAGATCATATATAGAAAGAACATTCTTAATACTGTTAATCCCCTTTCAGAAGTTACTTTCATGCTAGGCCATGTTAGTTTCTAGTTAGAAATAGAACTGATTTAAGTAGCACACCAAACATTTTAAAACCCAAGTGAGTCTTGTCTCCAATGTAGTTGCCTTGTTTTTCTTTTTCCAGCCCCATTGCCCACCGCTGGTGAACATGTTTGTAACTTTGGGATCATCTTCAGCAGCCTTTTTTTTTTTTCTTCTTTTAAACATCCTGACAGGAAATGTTCCTGTCTCTGTGGGTGTATTTCATTTTTTGATACAGCAAAAGAAATCATTTGGAGCCAAGTCTAGTGGACTAATAATCAAAAGTATCAAGGTGTGTTAAAAAAAAATGGAAAACCTATTTTAACTATAAAATAATGAAATCATATATGGCCTTTTAAAAGAATTTCTGAATTCAGGGGCATCTGGGTGGTTCAGTCAGTTAGCATCTGATCTTGATTTCAGCTCAGGTCATGCAGGATTGTGGGATCGCCCCACATCCGGTCCTATGTGGAATCTGCTTGAGTTTCTCTCTCCCTCTCTTTGTCCCTCCCTGTTTATGCACGCTCTCTAAAATCTTTAAAAAGACTTCTAAATTCACTTCCAAATTACTGGGAAAATAAGTGAATAACTTAAAAAGTATTCATTTGAATATAAGGACTTGTGGCTTTTTCAACAAAATTTCCTTTTCTTTGTGGTCAGACTTTATCAGCCCCAGCCAAGTCTGGGGGAGCCTCATTTTATTACTGAATCCTCTTAGCCTAGATAAAAACCATCACTAAATAGCTAAAGAAAAACTTTAAAGGTCAATAGTTGGGTCTGATTTTTACTGTCCTTTTAAAAGTTTTGATTTGTTCAAGAGGGTAGCTCACTTAAAAATAACCTTATAGTATCATTTCTTAAGTTAATTTTCAGTACTATTTATGTGGCAAATGGATTTCGATTTGAAGACTGGTTTAGTGCTACAGTGTAATATTTAATACTACATTGTTGCACAACTCCCGTTTTTCCATATGTAAGGCAAAGACTTACAATAGCTCCCAATGCAGATACTAACTGCATTTAGTAATCTCAAACCATAGCTAATGGAAGAATAGGTTTGTCAGAAAATCAGTACAGGCACTTTACTATTAAAGTTTTACTTTTTAATAATTTATTTAAATAAGATATTTGAAGCAGTTTAGAAAAAACAAGATTTGTATTTTATTTCCTTGTAAAAATCTTTACACATGCAGACAAACCAGTGTTAAGAAAGTATTCACCATCATTTAAACAAATAACCACTTAAATAGAACAGTGTCTGCAATTTTATCTGTATAAAAATAAGATACATTTTTACAGAATTCACGCTCCAGTTCTTATAGCAATAAACAATACACAACTATAATAAGTACAATTGAACCTGACCATGGTTTTCAATTAGATACTGCTAGGGCATTTTAATGTGCAAAAAAACCCCCAAAAACAAAAACCAAAAAGAAAAAAAAACAAACAAGAAAACAAAACAAAAAAACATAGTTCTTTCCAAAAGAAAATGTCCTCAGTGTTTCTAGAGACCTAGAGGGTTTTAAGAAATCAAATCCTAATCAGTTTGCTTTTAATGTTTTTGATTATGAGTCCATACATCACACTGTAGATAGGCAAAACCAGGAATTGATGCAGGCTCAAAGGAAGAAAGTCAGCGCCTGTGCCTGCTATGTCCTGAGCGACTGCCACCATGGTGCTTGCCTTTATGGGACCTCTCAAAGGAGCGAGACCTTTCACGCCTGTCCCTATGATGTCCCCTTTCATGCCTGTGTTTCTTGGCAGCATCTGAGTGATCCCGAGACTTGCTCTGAGATCGAGAACGAGATTTTTTCCTTTTATGACCATGTCTATTTGAACTTTTTAAGTCATCTCTGGTATGCTTGGCCTTAAGATGAGGAGAACCATGATTATGATGTCTTCTTGGGCTTTCACTGTGACTGCGTGACCTGCTTCTTGATCTTGAGCTGTATGTTCCAGATCGGCTCCGCCTATTATTATAACTTAGATAATAAAAATTTGAGGTTTAGATTCAGTTTCTGCTGGGAACAGTTTATTTTGGTGGTGCTTATAACAAGTTCAAAACAAAACTATTGACCTATAGCAGTACAGGCCAGATGGAAAACTTTCATTAAATCTCCCTACCCCTCACTAACTCCCATCCAACCTATATTAGACAAATCTTAAATGTACTGTATGTCTCTCTATGCTAAAGAGAAGAGTACTTAGTAATTTTTACAGTGTCCTGGATAGCTATGCTTATTATTGAGTATCTCACACATGCTCAAAAGAGCCACTGAGATATAAGCAGTTAGTGATCTAATTACAAAGCTACTAGGAAAGACTCTTTGGCTATAATCAACTTGAGTTTTGGTTGTTAATTAGCAGTTAATAAAATATTAATATTTTCTGAGATTTTCACACATTTTAAGCAGGATATTATAGCTTTCCATAGCACTTTGTGGCCAGCCCGTACACTTCTTCAAAAAATGGGCAAAGACAGAATAGAATGCTCGTAAGCTACACCACACCAAAATAAAAAAGCCACATATAAGCAGGACCTATTTCCAAATTCATTTCTCATAATTTACCTCATGTTAAAAAACTAAATCTAACCCAACTGTGAAAACATCTACGTTCAATTTTTTTAAAAAGCAGGAACCTTACTCCAAATAAGACTGCTTTCTCTTAGAGAATATTTACTTACTGTCTTCTTGGAGTATGTGATCTAGAACGTGATCGCGTTCTTGACCTTGATCGACTAGCACTTCTGCTATTTCTACTTCTCTTGCTGTCTTTTCTTACACTTAAAAAAAAAAAAAACAAACCAAAAAACCCATTATTTTAGATACATGTTTAGTATGTTAGAAATTTAACACATAAAAGATTCCTTAGACCAGTTTTCTAACTCAAGTATACTCACCCATTGTAAGGGCTTTTGGAAGCCTGTTGTCTGTCCTCAGGTTCTTTCTTGACAGTCTTCACATTAACGGAGATTGGTGACTTCTCTTCAGCTTTCACTTCTCTTGGTGATGCTTAAAAAAAAAAGACATGTTACCTATTGGGACTTAACAGAGGGCCAAAAAGTTGTTTCTAAATGTAAATCAAAATACCATGCTTTCAAGTATTAGTCTTAGTCCTGAGTTGACTATCATGGGAGAAAACAGTAACAGCTTCTCTTATCATTGTTTATATGCCACTATTAAATACTAAAGCTTTTTAAAAAAAAACAAATTTATTTTATTTATTGGGGGGTGGGGCGTGCAGAGGGAGAGAAAATCTCAGACTCTGCACTGAGTACAGAGCCTGACACGGGGCTGGACCTCATAACCCTGAGATCACGACCTAAACCGCAATCAGGAGTCGGATGCTCAACTGACTGAGCCACCCAGGAGCCCCTCAGTGCTAAAGCTTTCTAATAACCACACACCTGCAGTGCCCAAATCATTTCAATTCTGAATATATCTTACATGGTTTAGAGGCTGGAGAAAATCCACCAAGGGTTGAAAGGGCTGGAGTTCCATCGGGATTCAACCCCTTTGCTTTTAATTTGGCTTCTTGTAAGGCTACTTTTCTTTTCTCTACTTCTTTTTCCAACAATTCATAGTTTGGCTGATGGAAGAAAATGAAGTTAGTATTTTTCCCTTATATTAGTTTAGACTCTTAAGTACTTAAAAAGTAAAATACAAACATGAGTAAACAACTACCTTTTTTCTGGTATAAAGCCTAAGCGTTTCTATGCAGATTTCCTGGATCTCCTCTTCTGTAGTACCAAAAAGAAGAAACCAATGGGGACGAGTTGGTAATGGAATCTAAACCATAAAAACAGAATGGTTTAGACCAAATTTCAGTTTTTATCAGGACTGCTAATTCTTGTGATTTATCCTACAGAACAAAACAGGATATATATACCTACCTGAAGAGCTCTAGCCGCAAGGTAGATACAAGCACATGCTATAGTCTCTGGTTGAAATCGAACAAATACATTGGTTCGAAGACTGTCATTCATATAATTCCTGAAAAATATTTCAACCATAAGCTTTGTACATAAACGAAGTCCTTCTGAAGCTTACATAAAATTGGAGACTCAATCTACTTTATTCTTTTTTCTTCTCATATTTATATTCATATCCTCATATTCTAGCATACAACAATTCTTAACTCAAAAATCAGTAAGATAAGAATTTAACACTAGAACCATTCTTCAGTTTTCCTATATATCACCAAAGTCCTTTAAAATAATTCCGTATTATTATTCCAAATAGAACTTTAGAAGTAAGTTTTTATGTTTTTCTAATTTTGACATAACTAGCTTCAGAAATGATAAACCACTCTAACAATACTTCAAGCCATTAATTATTGACCAACTCTCCTTTATCCACAATGAAAAGCAGTGTCAACCAAGTTCTTTCAAAAACTCAAAATACTGTGACAGGGGTAAAAAAGGCATTTTCGGTAAGCACTCACCAAGTTATATTAAGAAATCTCAGCTACTTCAGAAAATTTAGGTAAGGAAGAGCAGTAAATATACAAAACAGCCTTGTTTACATACCTTTTTTGTGACTAAGTATAAACAAAAGCAATAAACTACTTCAGTTAATAAACTACTGGACTTTTTTTTTTATTAGTGAACCCTCCCCACAATATCCCTAAAGTATTAAAGAAATTTCACAAATTGTTTAAAAGGTTAAAAGACTTTCTTAAAAATCCTTACCCATGAAATAACTGCGTAAATGTTTTATAGAGCATATTATTAAAAATGTCATGCATTTTATAAAAGCAATTAGACTTTTCTAATATTACTAATATTTACTGAGTCCTAAAGAAGCATGGCAGTCATTAAGTCCAGAACATAAAAATTACGTAAGTCCTGCACATCAACAGTCTTGAAGAAGTAGTTGTAGCTGGACCAAATTCCTTGTTTTACCTTAAAATAAGCCAGCCCTCTAAATCAAACATCTTCATGTCAAAAGTAAAGTGCTTATGTTAATATTAACATCTCTTTTAAAAATGTACTTCTATTATTATTGCTTCAATAGTCCAGCAGCTGTAATTCATCCAGTATGGGAATGGTGCCCAGTTTAAGCTGCAAGTTGTAGTTTCCTTTGGTAGAATCCATGGTATACATACTAAAAATAGAAATCTAAGTCAAACTCCTAACAAAAAAAATCATTTAATTCATAATGGCTGGACAACAAATCTATCAAAAATGAACTATTCATTTTGATAGTTACAGGTATACATTATATACACAGGCATGTTGAATAGTTACTTCTAGAAGCAAATATACAAATCCTTTTGACACCCCGACAGAACTAGAAGATGCTGCCAGATGGATATGGACCACTTCAGTGAATCTCGGATCAGAGCTTGCACTGGATTGGCTGGAGAGCAGGGCAGCCAATCAGGCCATCCTGAGGTCATGGGCTGAAGTGCAGAGGGCAGAGTTCTATGACTTACCATCATGGACTACCCTTTAATTAAAGAGTAGAAAAAAGAACAAAGTTAAATTGAGTTCTCCATTGAAAGCAATTAGTCAAGCCAAGAAAACAGGAAGCAGAAATAAGCATTATTTACCTTTTGGTTAAAAAACAAAAAAAAACAAAAAGCACCAAAACAAACTCCGCTCATTATTTTGGAAAGAGAAACTGAAACTTACTTTATTTCTGCTTCTGTTTTCCTGGCTAGGAAAGAAATGTAAAAATGTAACTTACCAGGCAGTCTGAACCAGGGTTTGATTACGTTCACATTCTAAGACTTGTAAATACATAACAATGATCTGAAGGACAAGGGAAAAAAACTCAATTTAGCATATCAGTGGGCCTTTCAGAGTTCAATGAATATAAGTAATTGAAATGTTAGGTGCACGTTTTAACTCTTCTACGAAACTGCATAGATAATACAGACCAACCTAAAATGTACATTATAGGCAATGTGGGTTGTTATTATGCTACTAGATTCTATAAAAACTTTAAATATGATCCAAAATTGCACAGGAAAAAAAATGAGAATTAAATCAATTAAAAACATACCTAATTTCTAATGAACACTTTACTATGTGACAGGCACTGTGGTAGATTATTTCACTTAATTTCCGAAGTACAATTCTCCATGTCCCAAACCCGTACAGACTATGTTTAAAGTTACACAAAGAGTATGATATTATGTAATACGGTGGGCATTAGAATAAGTAAACACTACTCTTTCTGCAGTGAAGCTTATCATGTTTAAGTGTGATAAATAAATACTACACATGTAAATAGCTTCACAGTTCAAATCAGAGCTTTCTGGACCTGTATAATCAATCATTCCCATTTTACAATCTTGAAGATGTGGAATCTGAGAAAGAGATATGTCAGTTACAGAGCTAATGGCATAGACAAGTTTCTATCGCAGATAGTCCTGTCCCCAGAGCACTCAGATGGTAACCACTGTGCTATTATGATGATCGTATGTAAGCCAAGAGATACTGGAGAAATCTATAAACGTACAATAATGGTAACAGAGAGCAAGCAGCCACCATGCTTTGAACATTTTACTGTGCGACAGGTAGCATGCCAGGTACTTCTGCGGATGTGTATTATTTACTCCTAGGAATAAGGTACTTCACTGTTTTCTAGGTGGGGAAACTGGGTTAACCACAGAGGAAAAAAAGAACTTCTCTATGCCCACACAATGAAGAGTGAAGATTTGAACCCAAGTCTTTTTGACTCCTATTTTAGTGATAAGTTTATAAAGAATGCTTTTAAAAACCAAGGTTAACTCTCAAAAATAACCGTAATATAAATTCATGTAAGATACAATTTTAAGAAAAACCCTAATACTTACGAATATAATTTCTGCACTCTACAACTCACCTTATGGGGATGCTTGACATGAACACAAAATCCCAACTCCTTTAGCACCCTCCTCTCTGCCTTGATAACTTGATTTTTGGTGTTAATGTAGTTCTGATCAAGGATCAGGGGGCTTGGAGTCCTATAGTTTGTAAGAAATAAAATCAAAACTGTTTTGCACATCCAAAAAATTTTATTTGTGGCATCTCCATTTTCCCTTCCAACCAACTATTGGCAACAGAAACCAGCTTTTTAAACTCCTGCAAACAAGTTAAAGCATTAATCTTGTGCTGTCCAAGTTATGCTAATTAAACATATACTTAACTAAACTAAGTTTCTATAGAAACTAACTCGACCCCCTGTAGTGAAAAATTCACTCTAATGCTTCTATCTAGCCTTTGTTGATCTTTTTCATGATTATCTTTTAGGTGTGTATGTATATATATATATAAACTTATGTGATCGTTGCTTTATCATCACAAACCCCATTAGTCTCCACAGACTCTTTCCAATGACAAAACTAATTTGCTCTTGAAAATATTTACTATGAAGTCTTATAGATGATAGTGATTTTACTCGTTTTCTAAAATATCAAGGGGCGCCTGGGTGGCTCAGTCGTTAAGCGTCTGCCTTCGGCTCAGGTCATGATCCCAGGGTCCTGGGATCGAGCCCCACATCGGGCTCCCTGCTCAGCGGGAAGCCTGCTTCTCCCTCTCCCACTCCCCCTGCTTGTGTTCCCTCTCTCGCTGTGTCTGTCAAGTAAATAAATAAAATCTTAAAAAAAAAATAAAAATAAATAAAATAAAATAAAATATCAACTCTCGGCTAGTTTATGGCCAAAGTAAAAATCAGAGAGGAAAAAATGGTAGGTAGCTAATCCAGATTCTCCTAAGTGGATAATCTGCTTAAACAAATTGTTCTAAGAATCCACCACTGTCAAAAAAAATCTGAAAACTAAAGATTCAGCTCAATTACAAAAAGAAATGTTTTAAAAATCAGATTCAAAACTAAACGTGACCAATAAAAACTAAGCTTGAATTTGGTCTGAGTTGTCATTATTAGGCAGAATAACTTTCTTTAGAATGCAACGTAAAAGAGAAGGAAGACCGTAATGAGGGAACCAGAACAACACTCAAGGTCTGTGCCAGACTAAATTCTGATAGCTTCTAAAAAGCTGTAACGCAGAAAGCTATCAATGGTTCAATGCTTTGGAAAAAAAGACTATCTGATTTAAATCTTAAATTCAAAATGTTTTTTTCAGTCAAGACTTTTGGACTTTCATTTCCCAATGTCATTTGATATGTTTTTAGATCCAACCACCAAGAAGTACATTTTCATTAAGACATGATTATATGGTGTATACATATGGGGAGAACATTTAAATATTTTTCCCCATACTGAATTCATTTTCAGCCAAAATATTCAAGAGTTTTTGCTCTGGACAGAACACAGCATCTATTTTTAAAAGATAGTCATTCTGAGTATTACCCCAACTCACAACTCATTTTACCATGCACACCAAATCCAGAAAAATGTAAGCTCGTATTTAAATACATCCATTTGAATATTAGAAAACAATCTGAAATTAACTACAATTAATTAGCCCTGCAGTGACATATTATCTAAAAATCTTTCATTTATTTTCCTTCCTAACACCCATCTAAAATATAGCAACTGGAATTCTTATTAGACTATATTTCAAATTATTTCATACAATGATTTTTATCAATTACATTAAATAAATTTGGCAAATTTGGCAAGATGGAAACTAGCTTACTTAAATTAACAATACTGAAAATTAGCTTTCCTCAGTTCAATTCCTATTACCGCTATGAAAAGTGTGAAGAATGAGGCCACCAACTGGACAGGGGACTGATTTCTAACATAAAAATATAACAATAAATCTATCTGATCAGAACAACAGACTACAAGTTAAATGCTCTCTGGGAAAAAATTAATTTAACTTCAGAGCAATCAATGTTCACAAGAGATATAACCCCAAAATCTTAAGGTTTATAATTTTTCAGGGTTTCTCACCGTAACAGGAAATTTGCAAGAAGTCAAATCCACATCTCAGACTCTCAAACTAGTTATTTGATGGCCTTCCTTCAACATGTATTAAGAGACAGAATCTATCTCCAGTGTCGTATTTGCCTGCCATTAACTCTTTTCCCCCTGTAATTCAGACCGTAGACTGTACCATTACAGTCCTAAAATTTTACAAAATCAATTTTCTCATTTTTCCCTTTTTGTGTTGAGCAAACTCATCTACACCTTTTATTTACTAAGCCTTTCAGAGTTGCCTTCAAATTCTGTTAACATTCATTTCTTCTGCAATTAACCAACTAAACACTTGTTTGAATAATGGCTACCATCTGATTCCCAAATCAGGCTTACTCATTCATTAATTCTGCTTAAATGAACTATTTTTCACTTATTCTGCCACAATATTCACTTTCCCTTCTTTGTGTATCAAAGTCCCAGTAACACCAAAACCCAATTAAATAAACCACAAACTCATTATTTACTATAATGCGACTGTATACTCAACTTCTTGCTTAGGCCTTCTATTACCTAATTTTGAAAGTTAACTTTGTAGGTATGTAATTTACTATCTTCATTTTAAGCCTATCACCATTTGTTGGATTCAATACTATCACCATTTGTTAAGAATTGGTTTTAAATGAAGGAAGGCTCAATGAGCATGTAATTTACAACTGCCATATGAAGATTTTGTATCAGAAAAAGAAATGTGTCCCAGTAAGTCAGCAGTATGAAAAGGTTAAAGAAAACCCTCTAAGCAAGTGGTTTCCTTACTTATGTTAACAAAGTATCAATTAGTATTGCCTATGGGAGCAAGCATGTAACACTGAATTGAGGCTTGCTAGAATTTCTTCATCTCCAATTCCGTAAACTTTCCAGTAAGTTTTAGAAGATGACATTCTTAAATCTCTTAAAAAGAGAACTTTCATCTACTCAGAGAAAAAGTAATTTTCAACAACCAATCAAACCTAACTCTACCTCTCCCGCTTTTGAGTTTGTCAGATTTTTCAAATTAAATTTAAATGAAAAGAACAATTTTTAAATTTTAGTTCTAATAGAAAATCTTGGTCTTTGATCACTGGAAGTTTATCTGGTCTCTCAGAATAACTGTTCCTTCAGCATTAATTGATTTAGTTGAAATACAACTTAACAGAAAAAAAAAGAAAAAGAAAAAATTAGGAATAGGAGATCCAAACATGGTCACTCTCACTCATGTGGTACAAAGACCTAGAAAATTTGGAACTAGCTCTTCAACAGACTATACTAAAAAATGAGACTGAGTAGTTTACAGAGAGCAGACTGTTGTTCAATATAGAAAAATGTGTAAGGCCTACTCCAAAGGAATGTTCCTTCTTTAGCAGTGTTTAAACAAACTTAAGGCCACCACCTTTAGAGCCACTGAAATAAACTGAGAAAGGTTGGACTAAATGACAAGATCACTTAATACCCTTCCAACTTCATCTATGATCTATACACATGTTGAAAATACCACACCATATTCATCAATGAGTGATTGCACCAGTCTGAAGATCTGTCTTCCTTTAGAGAAGGCTTCAAAGATGCAAGCAGGCTCCTTACAATTACAGAAAATGCTTAATTTTCTGGAAATATGCTGCATCTCAAAAGCAAATTAAAATTGGAAACTGCTAAAAAGGCAATTTTCTCTTTCAATTCAGCCATTTATTCCAAGCTTAATTATGAAACTACAAAAAATTTGGGGAGGGAAGGGGGGCTATCAAATAATCCAGGATAGGACTTGGGCACTGGTACTTTCTAAAAGCTCCTCTGGTGATTCAAAAGTGTAATCAGGACTGAAAAATGACCAAAAAGCTACAAAAATGATACGTCCTCTGTAATTACCAAGATCACACTACAATTTAAAGCTATGAATAAACCAAATTAAAACAGCATCATTAAGATAAACCGATATGCTATTAACTAAAGTATAATACTGATAGTACTTTCTAGTGATATTACTCTACATAAAAATATATCAAGCTATAGTTCTAATAACTTGGACAGCAAAGACAAAAGCTTGTAACAAGAAACAGGAGTTTTTCTAAATGGTTCACCAGTGGCCAACCTGTTAGTCCCCGATTCCAGTGACCTATTCTCAGAGCACTGGCTTCTCCTTGGGGATTTTCGATACTTCACTCACTGTTGCCATGACGACAGCTTCATCTCTATGTACCACTCCACATCACCCAGGCTTTGGTAAATGTAGCTGGTCGCTGTATAGTCGGTTGCAAGGGAAAAAAGAGTTGAAGTTAATAACATATACAAGTTATGTGTCTGAGTAAACTTGTAATATGCATAGAAACACTTTTACATCCTGCTTTAAAAAAAAGGCTTCCATGCAATTAACAACTCCTTTTAAATTTCATGCTATAATCAACTTGTAAGATTGAGACAAAGTCAAATTCTCTGTAATAATGACCAAAACACACTATTACATCAGACACAGCAGTCAGTCAGGTGAGATGTTTTAAATTCCAAGGTTTTTATGGTTAAGAAGACCTACTCTGACATCAAGGAAGAATACTCTAAGTCTCATAGAAAAACTTCAAAGTAGATAATCATTGTTAAGTGATAATACAATAGTTGGCTCAATGATTCAAAGAACACGGACAGAAAACTCCTTTAGGCAAACACAGAATCCTTTGACTAAGGACAAAAAGCCTTTTTATTACTGTCATTTTGTTTTAAACACCCTGAAGAATCAGCTAGATATCTAAAAACAAATTTTATTCAGACCATACTAAATACCAATTTGAAATCTTCCCAATTTCCAGGGATTCCTCACCAAGAAGCTAAAAGATACTTTAAAATGAAATAAAAAATTAGTCTATCCCTGAACATGGTTAGGATGAAGGAGAGAAGATGGTGGAAAAAGAATGTAAGAAAACTGAAAAATGCTGTGAAAACTATCTGGGTAGCAATGTTTCAGACTTTCTAACTAAAGATTACTGTTTGTCTCTGAATAGGTCCATTACTGCCAACTTATAGATTCAGCCAATAACGACCACTCACATAGGATACTAATTTGGCACTGACACCCAACCCCAACAACTTAAAATCCTTTTTTAACTAACTCCCATAGTGTATCTAACATCACAATTTCTTAACACAAAAACTAACCTATGCCAAGTATATCCTTCTGTAGCATGTACTGGAAGTCACCTCTAGATGTAGGAAGCCTTGCAACTAAACTTTTTGCACTGCCTCACATGAACACATAGGTCCACATAAAGTGTTGTCATGTAGCCACAAAATCTGTAAAATGACACTACTTGGTCTCTATTTTCTTACTTCTTACAAGATCAAATAAAATAGGCCTTATCTGAATGTAACCCAATCAGTTAGTTATTTCTCTGCCCCACTCACTGATACTGTATCTGACCAAAACAAAATACCTGTTTAATCCCTTTGACTTCAAACTTCAAACTTTATCATCCTGCAGTCCTTTCAGATCCGGTATTATGCGATATATCGTAGTTCAATGTTGAGAAGTATTCAAACAAAAGCCAACCTCAATTGATAAAGAATTAACTGGGACTTCGAGTAGAAAAACATAATCTACACAGAACTTTGCCACAATATTAACTTGAACTGCAGTGTTCACACTTCCAGCCTTCAGTCTTCCAAGAGAGGGGAGGGGGGAATAACTTACAGAATACACTCACACTTGAGCCAAACGTATTCCCTTTCTTGTTTAATCTTAAGCCACAGGACTGGCTTCACAGCACTGTTAGGATTGTCCATAAATGCAACTGCCTCTACAAACTTTAGATAGCTGGTTAATTGTGGTTTGTTTCAAATTAATTTAAGTATTAGTGAGCTCCTATGTGAATTTTAACACCTAAATTAAAGCCGGTTTTCCTTTGCATCAGTTTTGAGAGGAAAGAATGTTTTGATGATTGGTGCACAATGCAGCAGCAGCAAGAAATACTGTGTTCAATAATGCCAATCTTACCTTTTTCCTCTTAACTGGCGCAGATGGTGAAATACATTAATCACATCTCTTATTCTTCTAGGTGCTTCTTCAATTTTTGATGCAAGATTAATACAAGCCATGGCAACGATCTGAAAGAACCCACAATCCAATGAAAGACTGTTAGATTATAGCATTATCAAGTAAAATTAGGAAAAAGTGACTCCCCCCCCCCCCAAGTTATAACTAATTCTGATGAAAAACTTTTAGGATACAACTGGGACAACTTTTGGTGAAATAAAAGTACGATGGACCTTTCTAGGCCATAGGCTTAGCAGATACGCTAATACTACGTTTTCTTTTTTAAGTAATATTAATTTTGAATACAGAGTCAAGCTCAAGTCTCCCCGGAGTTTTGAATTTGGTTAAAATGTTAATTTTTGCTAAGGGAGCACCTGGGCTCAAGATACGCTTTATAGCTTTCAAACACATTCCAAAAGTCTTTGCTTCTCGGTTGGTGAGAACTAGGTACAAAGGCCTAAACTAACCACTCCCTTTCCAGAAAAGCTGGCTGGAGACACTACCCCCTCCTTTCCGTTTCCGGATGAAGAAATCCCTCACACCCGCCCCCGCGATGCTTACCTCGAAACTGTGTTTGACGAAAGACTTGGAGTAGAAAAAACGATGAAACAACACCTGCCCCGTTGCCATCGCCACCTGCAGACAAGAGACAAGAACGGAGGCGCAGGGGTCAGGCGGGCCCGCACCAGGCGCCGCCGCCATTTTGTGCCGCCGCTCGCTCCCCCTCCCCCTCCCGCCGCGAACTGCCCGCGGCCCGGTCCTCCCTTCGCCTCCGCGTCCTCCCGCCCTCGACACACCCGGGATCCGGCTGGGACCCGTGGCTGGAGAGCCCGAGAAGGCATCTCCACCCTGACGAGACACGATGATACCGGGATGCAGCGGAAGGGACAGCGGGGAGGAGAGGCGCGCTCTGCCGGCCCGCGGCCGGCGCACTGACCTGCGGCAACCGGAGGAGAATGCCGGCGGCTTGGATGAGCTCGCAGCCCAGGATGCGCAAATCGGTCTCGCTGGGCAGGTCGAGCCCGTCCTGCATGGACGGGGTAGGGGAAAGCCGCTCCTCCGGAATCAGCGAGTGATCGATGGTGAGCGAAACTTCCGAGTAGAGGCGGTCGCCGATCAGGATCCCTCCCGTCGTGGTCGTCGTCGTGGTCGTCGTCCCGGAGCTGGAGCCGCCCGCGCTCGGGGCGGCCGACGAGGCGGCGGCGGCAGCGGTCGCGGTCGGGTGAGGCCCGGACGCCATAGTCTCAGCGAGCTGCACGCACGCCCAACGCAGCCGGAACCCGGAGCGAGACTAACCAGCGTCCTCGGCGCGACGGATATTCCCGTGACCGCCGGGTTCTGGGCCGCTTCACGCAGCGTGCGCTTCCGCCCTGACGTCACCACGCCCCGCTGGTGCGCGCCAACTAGTCCCTTCAGGCCTCCCCTAGGCCTGCGCCGCGGCTGGTGCCGCGGGCCGCAGTGTGGGACCCTCCTGTCATCGGGAGACCTCTCGGCTGGGGCCCCGGAGAGGTCGAGGAGGCCGTCTCTTTACCTAAAACAGGTTTTAGCCGCCGCGTTTTTAATAGTATTTGCCACAAGTATAAAGAAGGGAGCTTTACAAGCTACTTTATCCCCAAGGTAGTATTGGCAGAATTTGCTCTAATCTCTGCGCGATTTCGGTGGTTTGTCTAGAACGTGCGTCTCTTTGCTTCCGTCTCTCGCCCTCTCCTAACTTTCAGCATTTGCGCGGCGCAGTTCAGCGGGTACAAAGGGAAACTTAGGGCCGACCTTCGCCCGCATTGGCGGGCAGAAGCAGTTACTCTGCTGTCGTGCTCGGACGAATTTGTAATTTAAAGTGACCCGCAAGGAATCTGTGGAGAGGGCTGCTTTACGGTATTTTTAGACAACACGAATGTGAACTACATTGGTTCCCCCCAAAAAGCTCTCAGATGAGCAGGTAATTCCCCGTGGTATCGAAGTAAAGCGAAGGCTTCATAATGCCCGGGAGAGAGGCTGCTTTTGCCTGTTCGCTTGCGAAACTCAGGCCTGAGTCAGTGGCATGGCCACAGTTCACACTAATCTGGAAAATCCCTAGTTTCCAAAAATAGGGCGAGAACTTTCCAGAGGTAATTGGATTATACCCAGGGATCAATATATTCATATTGGTTACCACAATTAGGCAGAATGGGAGAAATCAGTCTCCTTTGGGTTTTTTTTCCCCCTCTGGGATGTTAGCAATTCCCAGAATTTCCTCAAATTTGAAGTAAAAATAACGATACTGATACAAACTACTAGAGTCTAGAGTTGGAAGAAAATGAGATCTTGGTTTACTCCAGCTATCTTTGTATCCCACACTTGAATCTCAGAGATGGTTGGCTAGGGATGAGAAGTCCCATTATCTTTCCATTACATAGCTTGAACCCAGGGCTTACTTTGTTTAATGATGAAAACTGCACTGAACCTTGGATCTTCAGAGCAAAGGAAGTTTGAATGCATTTTGATATTTGTCAGTGATGTGAGGAAAGCAAAACAAACTCAGAAACCTCATTTTTTAAAAAGCATTAAATCAGTTTTATTTAGTAAATCGCTACATGAGTAGTTCTGAACCCTGGCTGGGAATTAGAATCTTCTGAGGAGTTTTGAAAACATACTGATGCTTGAGCCTTACCTGCAGAAGTTGATGTAATTAATTTAGGGTGGGCCCAGCCAGTGGTTGGATTTTGCCCACCCTCCAGTGATTCAAATGTTCAGGCAGGGTTAAGAAATATTATTCCAAGAGAGTGTAATTCTGGTGGTGGCTAAAGCAGTTAACCTCTCTGCCCATCATCTCCTTGACCTTTCTGACCAGGCTGTTTCCAAGGAAACCTCCCTGCCCAATATTCATAGGGATTTAAAAATACTATTAACTTTGAAAACTTGGGAATCTTCAAAAACTAATCGATGATAGGCTATTTTCCTGATTCTGATAACCTGTGGTTATGTAAAATAGTAGTGTTGGGGAAATTTGGATCAGTGATACATAGGAATGCTGCCATTATTTCAAACTAAAAAAAAAGGCAAATTGGTAATATGCTTCATTGAAACATTGAGTTTCAATGAAATAACTGCCTGTATTTTTAATGACCTGAGAGTAATATAATTTAACTTACTTTTAAGATACTTCTTAATGGAAATTTTTTTTCTCTTTAGGGGCTCTTTCACCCTGCCCCTCCAATAAGCTGACTTGGTGAAGTTTTGATATATTTTATAGTATATTTTTACTCTCTAGGTCCTTGATACAGTTCACAAGCATAGGAGTGAGCTCTGGGAGGAGGAGGGGTTCCTTGCTGTGTTCCTGATATCTTTTCCCAGTAGACTTCCCTGCTCACCACCTCCTGTATCTGACGTTCATTTCCACAAGAGCAGAAACACCCTGACTATTCTATGCTTTGGGCCTATTTCCAACTCCTTCTGACTATATCCCAGCTTATATCCAATAGATAAGAGTATTTTCATCCTTCATCCCTTCAGCTTCAACAAAGGTGGTAGAAGAAGTAGGCCAACATTTTATTTGTTTAGCATTAACTCATCAAACTGATGTTACTTTTACTTTTAACTTAAAAAAGAAAAAAAGCGACGACTAATCCAGAGGATGGAATGCAGTAGGTCTAGTGGTTCTGCTCCACAAGGTTATCTAAGGACAAAGGGTAAAAAAAAAAAAAAAAAATTATGATTATCCTTTTCAGGGTCAGATTCCAAAAAAATCATGGTTTAGAAAATTGTTACATTATTTCTAAGTTACTTTGAAGAAAGTTGTTTTTCCACATACCTACTTCCAAAACATCAACATTAAAATGTAGAAAGACTAAGACCTATTCAGTGTTGTAGTTTCCAGAACTGGGAAGAGTAAAGCACACGCTTTAATTGTATAAAAGCATTAGTAGCAATGTATTCAGGCAAGTGAGAGAGTTCCATTAAGAAGGTAAATGTTTGAGTTGTCGCTTAAAAGAAAAATGGAATATTGTGTCTGTAATAAATTTTGTATATTCTTTCTCAAAGAACAAATGTCCTGTTAGTAGACCCTGAGTTCACCCATGTCTAAAAGTGATAACTTTTAGTGATAACTAGAGTAAAGTTGCAGTTTTTACTGTTTTAAGCCTTCCACGCTTCAGATGATGACTGGAGAGACAAATGGAATTATCATTGGCCTTCCTGTGACTACTGAAGAATCACATTCTTGATGCTTTAATCAGTTCTCATTCCATTAAACTGTGTAGCCTCCCTGGGGATCATGTTTTTCATTATTATTTAAACTTTCAGGTTCTTTAATCCTAAAATCATAATTGATATAATCTCATTAATTTCTTCAGCAATTGGTATTCATCAGTAGACCACCAGAATTTAATAACAACACTGTAATTTAGGCTAAATGCAAATGAAGTGGAAGTCCCCACCAGAAGAAGCTACCCTTAAAAAAAAAAAAAAAGATTTATTTTTATTTATTTGGGGGGGAGGGACAGAGGGAGAGAATTTCAAGCAGACTCCCCACTGACCATGGAGCCTGACACAGGGCCTCAATCCCCATGAGATCATGACCTGAGCCAAAACCAAGAGTCAGATGCTCAGCCAACTGAGCCACCCAGGCGCCCCAAGAAGCTACACACTTAATAAAGGGAATGGTACACACAAAGATAAATGTTAGGGTGACCAGTAAGTGCAAAAAGCAGGCAGAGAAGGGATAAGTCATCATGGTTAATGTGATCAGGGAGAATTTATAACCTTAGGAAGTTGCTAATCAAGTTTCTGTTTATAGCAGAGATCATAGAATATTTGACTTTACACATGAACTGTTCATGTGACTACATGATTTTTTTTAGTCTTGTGGTTATATGACAATAGATTCTGGTCTGGTTGCTGTCATCATTAAATAGTTATTCTGAAGATGATTTATATGTAATTAACCCTTAGGCATATACTGCTTGGTCAATCTCATAATAGCACTGGCTTGGGCATTCTGCTGCTGGCTCTGCTGAGCACTAGTTCTGAGATTTTAAGCAACGATAGTTTTCTCATTTCTTAAAGTGAGGGAGTCCAACTGGACCCCTTGCATGTCTAAACTTCCATGACTCTGCTTATCCAAACATCTGGAACCTCAGACTCCTCTTTGGTTCTTAATTCTTCTTTATTTTAGTCACCTAGTCCTGTTGTTCCTTCCTTCAAAGAAGGAAATTGTTCTCAAATCTGCTGTTCCTTATGCCTGGTCTTCTTGGCTCCATTCTCACCCATTCCTCATTCATCCAGGTAAATTTCTAAATTAATCTTTGAAATTCAAATATCAATTTCCTCACCTCACTTTCTCAAATAAAAACTTTGGAAATAAAGGCTGTTGAGACTTTATACAATATAAACTTACCAGGGCACCTGGCTGGCTCAGTTGGAAGAGCTTGCAACTCTAGATCTTGGGATGTGAGTTCAAGCCCCATGTTGGGTGTAGAGATTACTTAAATTAATAAAATTTAAGAAAGTTTCAACTTGCCTGGTCACTCATTTCCTTATCAAACTACCACCTTGCCTTATTCCCTTCTATGTCTCTGAACCAAGACCAGCTGCACTTGTCTCCTAACAAATACATAGTTTACCTTCCTGATTTAACAGTTTCTATTTCTCAAGCCTGCGACATTCTTACTCTTTTCTCCGGGAATCAAATCCTTCCCAGTTGCTTGAGATCTAGATGAAGCTCTACCTCTTGCCAGAAGCCTTTCTACCTGATCTGGCTTGCATTACTTTTCCCCTTCTTTGGGTTCCCTCCTAGCATTTATGACCTCTAGAATACATTTTGACACATGATTTTATACTGTTACGCATTGTTACTTGATAACTTCATAAATGGGTGTCTTGACTCCTTAAAAATAGGACCACTTTTGCATTTATTTTCCATTGTCCACAGAACCTGGTAGACACTGTGCCTATGGGAGGTAGTTAATCAGAACTTACGGAACTGAATTGCCTATTTTTTTTCCCTAGTGCCTGGCATAGGAAGGCTGGTCTTGCCTTTTCCTTTCTGTCCAGCAGCCAGTTCTATCCTCAGGTGTCTGTCCTACCACCACAGCCATCTCTCCCTAATAGAGAGCTAATGTACTGCCTAATGGAGGTCCCCATTTGTCCTGTTCACTTTGCAGCACTCAGCTGTGTTTCCACTTCTGCTCTATTCTGTGTCCTTACGGTGGGCTACTTCTGTAGCCCACAAGCTATATAGGCATGAGCTGCAGAATAGGAGGCCTGTTGGCATTGTTATAACCAGAGTTGTGGTTCAGGGACAGGAGCTCACAGCAATACAGTGGAGTAGTTTGATGTTTGAGTGTAGACAGAGGCTCTGGGACAGTTTTTGGAGGTGTGTCCCGAAATCTGTCAAGTGTGACTAAGAGTTAGGCCAGTGCCAGTTAGATAAACTGAACTGTAAAGCCAACAAAACCATAGGTTTGCTTTGGGAGCTAGACTAATGTTAATATCTGGTCTGATCTCTTTTTCACACAGGAAATTAAGGCCCAAGGAGGAGGCTGCAAATAGTAGCTACTCATTAGTATTTGCTGATTGCAAATAATTCAGTGCAGGCTATGTTTGGATGGATTAATTCTTTATGGTATTAAATGTCAAGAATTGGCCAACTAGTCTTGGTATTAGTCACTTATTCAAGAGTAGTAAGAGTTTGTTGGTATGACTTCCAAACAGATTACATCAAGGGAATGTGGCCCTGCCAGCTCCTGGATTTTGGCCCAGTGAAACTAATTTGGGACTTCTGACCTATAGAACTGTAAGATAATTTTTGTTGATGTAAGCCACTAGATTTATTGTAATTCTTTATGGCAGTTATAGGAAACAAATGCACTAAGATTAGCTATTTCCTGATACTATTTTTTTTAATATTTTTTATTTATTTGTCATAGAGAGAGAGCACAAGCAGAGGGAGCGGCAGGCAGAGGGAGAAGCAGGCTCCCTGCTGAGCAAGGACCCCGATGCGGGACTCCATCCCAGGACCCTGGGATCATGACCTGAGCCAAAGGCAGACGCTTAATGACTGAGCCACCCAGGCGCCCCTAAACTCTTACTTATTTGTTGACAACTAAGTACTAGGCTCTATTACAGCCATTGGGGATATGGTGATGAATGATAGATTCTGCCTTCAAGGAGCTTGTAGATGATACACAGATATACAAGTGTGATAATTTTGACTAATTTTTTTTTTTTTTAAATGGAAGGATCTTTGAGATAGTAAGTGAACGAAAGAAAGTTCCAGCTTGGGCTCCTGGGTGGCTCAATTGGTTAAGCAACTGCCTTCAGCTCAGGTCATGATCCTGGAGTCCCAGGGTCGAGTCCCACATTGGGCTCCCTGCTCAGCAGGGACTCTGCTTCTCCCTCTGACCCTCCCCTCTCTCATGCTCTCTCTCTCTCATATAAATAAAATCTTTAAAACAACAAAAAAAGAAAGTTCCAACACCATACATGTAGTGTGATACTTTTTATATGAAATTAACTGCATATATATGAATTACTAGTGAAATGAATTTTTAAGTGTTGAAAATGCATATCTGAATTGTTTATTAGATTCAACAGATGTAAAATTACTTTGTCAAATTGCCATAACAATTTCTAGACACTCTCAGTTTCTGTACTTATTAACTACTGATAACAAACAGTTCAGAGTTTGGTCCCAGCCCATGGGCCATTCTTTGGTATTATTCTTTGAATTTTTTAAAATAGCGAACATTTATTTTTTGTATAATTGCAATTGTTTTGAAAAAAATTCCAATTCAGTCTGATAATTGACATATAGGTACAAGGTAGAGAAGTGGTTCCGAGGATGGGGTAGTTTTATGGACAAGCAACAAAGAAGGTGGCAAAAAGGAGATGGATTTTAAAGGCTACATGGGCATTTGTCAGAAAGGTAAGTGTGGAAGAGTGTTTTAAACAGGGAAAACAGGAGCCATGGTAGAGAGGTATGAAATTGCTAGGTGTGTTGAGAAAGGTAGTGGACATCTTTCCCTTAGGGACCCACAACTTCTCCATTCTCAGTGTAGGTGGTTTGGGTAGGGCTGACCTCCTCCCTAGCTCACAAACTAATCAGCATTTCTCACCCCTCTTCACTTCCTCCCAGTGATTGGTTCAGCACGTCAGTTAAGTCCAGGACTTTTACTGTAACCCTGGCTAGGGAAAGAGAAGGAAGTATTTGTTTCTTCTGGGATTGTCAAGAGGGGAGATGTAAGCCCAGACCTACAGAGTGCCATCTTACTACTGGATAGGGGAACCAGTTTGAGAATGGAGTCAGCAGAGAAAAAGAACAGAGGCCAGAGACAGAAACCCAATCCAAAGACTTCATTTAAGGCTCGCATGTAGCCATACCCTATCTTCTACCCCTGGGATTTTCAGTTACATGAACAAATAACTCCTTTTTATTCATTTAATCTTAAATCCTCTTAACTGAAAAGACCTACATAAAGAATATTATGGTGTGCTAGAATATTGTGTGTGTGTTTGTGTGTGTGTGTATGTGTACACTAGGGACTAAAATGCTACAGGGGTGGGCAAGGTCTAGAAGGGCTGAGGAACAGGTCTTCACTTTTGGAGGCTCCCAGAAGCTCTGGAGGATCTAAAGCAATGGTAAAAGGGAGTCACTAGTGCTAAGCCCACATCACCAAATCAAAACTAACATCTAACTTAATTGCATTTTTAGCCTCCTCCAGGAATGTAATCTTAACCCTTCAGTCTAGAATTTCTTGGTTGGCAGTAGGGAGGTAATTCATCTACTAGGTCCATTTTGTCCCCCAGAGGAAGGTGACCTTGCCTGAAATAATCCTTCCTCCCCACCCCACCCCCACTTATGACTTCCTTGTCCCATTCCTTCTCTGGCTTTAAAGTCTTTACTTTTCTGTAGCTCTTTGGAGCTCTTTTCTGTTTGCTAGATGGAGAACTGCCCAATTCATAAATCGCTCAATAAAGCCAATTAGATCTTTAAAATTTACTCAGTTGAATTTGTTTTTTTTATTTAACAGCAGTGATTACCTCAAGAAAATGAAGAGCTATAAATCAGAAAGTAATATTAAGAACAGTTACTTCCTCAAGTTTTTCTAGTAGTTTCATTTTTCTTCTGTTTCTTTACTTCTGGTTGGGGCTAGGCAATTAAAAATGGAAAGCACCTAGCAAGTCCTTGAAAATTACATATTAAAAAATACTGTTTTCCTTTTAAGGATTGAGAGTTATACTATAATTTACAAAATTATAATTTTGAGCAATGAAGTAGGTGACTCCATTTACTAGTGTTTTCTGTTTCCAATAAGCATTCAGCATAAGCAGACTTTCACTGAAGAAACTTTTAGGAATATTAAGAATCAGCTTTTCTGAAGCACCCTACTCAGTTTTCTTAGCAGGAACAAGAAGTAACTGGGAATCTCAGGAATGCTTTGGCCGTTTTGGACATTATAACAAAAATAAATGAGCTTCACATTAAGTTCCCTACATATAATTATCATGTCTCTTTAACCTAGAATAATTACCTAGGGTTTTTTGTCTTTTATAGTATTTTTCATGATTCCAGGCCAATGGTTTTGCAGCATGTTCCTCAACTTGGATTTGTCTGATTGTGATTAGATTCAGGTTGAACATTTTCCCACGAATGCTCCGTAGATGATGTATCCTCCAAGTTTCACAAGAAGGGGCGTATGATGTTAAATTATTGTCCAGTTTCTGGTTAATTTCAATGATTTGGTTAAAGGTGGTATCCACCAGATTTATCCATTGTCAACATACCTTTACATTTTTGTAATAAGTAACCTGTGGGATAATTCTTTGGCAATAAATAACATATCTTACGTACATTGTTTCAAAGAAGAAAAATGGCCCAGTTGAAACCTTATAGAGTTGGAAAGGATTATTTCAACAAATTTCTAGTGAGTACCCACTAATTATGTTATGCTAGGTGCTAAGACCACAAAGTAGTGAGACTGACCAGAGTAAAACAAAGAGCAAAATACCACAGGAGAATTTGGGAGAAGGACAAAGACCACATTAAAAGTGAGGAAAGGAAAGTTCAGAGGAGATATAAAATGACCAAGATCGAATGTCAGAAGTGAGATTAGAACTCTGGTTTTTCTAATGCCCAGTACAGTGTTCTCTCCATGACAGCATCTGAAGATTGTATTGTAAAGCTGGTTCTCTGGGACAGATTTGTTCAGAACATTTGTTCAGAACAGAACAACATTTGTTCTTACAGTGAAAAAAGTTCATGACACCTTATTGTGTAACTAAAAGAACAAGCTTTCTCCGGGCCCACCATAGGGTGCTTTAGAAGAAATGTTTTTTAGATTGATTTAAATTACGTACCTCGTGACATTAAACTCCTCCTTGGAGACCTAGTCGAGTTTTATATCAGGGAAAGTTTTTCTCATAGTGACAGGGACAGACACACGGGTGCCACACCGTAAAGAGACACACACACACTGCTGTCGGGAAACTAATTCAGAGGTATTTACATCCTACATCCTGGGACTACTGAACAGCCGACACGTAATTCCCGTAATTGCTTTATGAAATACGGAATGTTTGCATATATATCACTGGAATCTCAAAAATAACCCAGTTACTCCTTAAGGTGGGAAGCACGGATCAGTAGATATAGGCTGGATTGCTAATTATTTTGCCTTTACATTTAAGAATCTCTCGTGTATAATTAATTTTCAGAACAGAAACATAAGGGGGAATAGTCTCATACATTCATTTATTCATGTATGTATGTCATATATTCATTCATTCAGGACTACCTCGGCTTCAAACTTAAAAGCTGGTTCTGGAGATGTGCTGTTTTAGGCATGCGATTTCTTTTGAGCTCAGTTTTGAATCTATAGACACTGCAGTCCCAACGTGGTCTTTTCCCTGATGGGGAAGTTCAGGGAGAAAGAGGTGGCTTCAGGCTACAAACTGGAAAAGCTCAATTCTACCCCCTCAGTAGTTTCAGGAATTGTTTTTAAACGTGAAGGCCAGGATATCAGTTGCCCTTTGCTCGCTCTTCTCAATACGGAACCTCGTAACGTCCTGCGTACTTGGGATAAATGAATTTATTTGAACAGGTAAGTATTTACAATTTTTTACATTAGGCCTGTAGTGAGAACTCCCTCCGCCAGCGGCTGAAGGGCCCTCCCTAATCTAGAGGAGGCTGGGATCCCCAAGAGCTCTACCGTGGGGGAGGTGACTGAAGTGGGCTGGTCAATTGGAAAGTCCTTTTCCCCTTGCTACGAACTCGGCGAAAACTGTCCACACCCCGTGAGACAACTGACCTGAGTGTATCCCCACTACCCCAGGCCTCCAGGCCCTGCGAAGCCTCACGGTCCGCTCAGGGACAATCTGCGCTCAGCTCCGTCCCTGAACTCTTGCAAGGCCGCACTGGGCTATCGTAGGCGTCAGGGGAGAAAGATTTCTCAACTGTCAAGAGGGAAGAGCACGCCCGAGTACTCCGTCATTTCTAGGAAGCCCGGAGCCCGCCAGGGGGCGGGGGCGGACAGGCAGGACAGCGCACAAGCCAGATCTGCCAGCCTAGAGCCAATCCGCGCAAGCGCAGCGCCCTTTCCCTTTGCGTGGCTGCGGTTGACCGACTCCCTCCGCCAATTGCCGGATCTAACTTGGTGGCCCTCTCCGCGCGCCTGACTTCCGTCCCTGAGCGGCCGTGACGTAGCGGGTCTCCTCCCCTCGCGCTCCGCGGCGCCGGTCTCTTGTGACGTAAGCAGCCGAATCCTCTCAGTCTGGATCTAGGGCGGAGAGTGGGGTGGGTCGGTGGGCAGGTCGCCTGCTCCTCCCGCTGACCTGAGCGTGTTTTGTAAAGGAAACCTCTCGTAATTTCCTAAGACCTCAGATTAAGTCTTTAAACTGTTCCCGTTTCCTAATAAGGGAGAAAACGGCCCCTCACCTCAGTTCCAGCTCCTTCCAAGCGAAGAGTTCTGTTAGACGTGAACTGCAAAATGTGTCGTTATTTGGCTTTATTTGCATCTTTTGCTTGTTATTTTTATGTATTCTCTTAATGTGTAAGTTGGAAGAAAGTGACATCCATAAAATCGTAACTTTGTATATGGAGGCAGGGATAAGCCGTACATAGTTTGGCTTGATGAGATTAATGTAATTTTAATTTAGTTTAAAGTTAGTTTCCATTTGTATTATCCAGGAGTCGCATCAAGAAAGGCTGGGCATAAAAACGGTTAAAAAGCTTTCAGGAGTGTTTAATCGTCTTGTAAGCTTTTTTTTTTTTTTTTTTTTTTTTTTAAGATTTTATTTATTTATTCAACAGAGAGAGAGACAGCGAGAGAGGGAACACAAGCAGGGGGGTGGGAGAGGGAGAAGCAGGCTTCCCGCAGAGCAGGGAGCCCGATGCGGGGCTCGATCCCATGACTCTGGGATCACGACCTGGGCTGAAGGCAGACGCTTAACCGACTGAGCCACTCAGACACCCTCGTTTTGTAAGCTATTTAAAGCCGAGATAAAAATCAAGGTGTATTAGAAACAAAAAGACCTTAAACTTACAAAGGGTGAAGATTTTGTTTACAGATAGTGAAATAGACAATAGAGATTTCTGTGACTTGCTCAAGAGGGATGGAATCCAGGCCACCGCTTTCACAATGCCAGTACTCTCGCCAGTTTGACTAAGGCTGTCTTCAGAACCCCCTGCTGGACCTGGGCATCTGTTGCTACTTTTCTTGCCTTCCTCCCTCACTTGTCTTTTCCCCTTTTCCTTGATTCTGGTTCCCTTCCTGAGTTCTCCTCTTGTTCTCCCCACCCCGTTTTGCATTCTGTTTAACTTCCTTTGTTTTCTTCGTAGTTGAGCTTTCCTCTCCTTTAAATGCCTCTTTTTAAAATACCTGTAAAAGGAAATAGAAGAACTTTTAAAGTTTATTTTCTTGTTTTAAGGGAGGTTTGGGGGGGCGGGTAAGTTTGTGTATAGATAGATGTAAAATTTCCTCTGGTAAAAGCTGCCTTCTGCTTTCTTCCATAGCAGTACAGTGAAAGTAGGAGTGTGTGTGTGTGTGTGTGTGTGTGTAGTAAAGAAGAGAGAGGAGGGAGTGTGTAGTGAGCTGTTTGGAATCAGAAACTGGAGAAAAAATATATAAATAGGTGCTCTACTCAATTCAAAACAACATAGCTGTAGGTTCTATGAAACAAACACATCATTTCCAATCAGTCCCTGCACATTGCCTCAAAAATGCATTTCTTTAGATGATTTGTGTCATTTATAGAATAAACCTGTAGCTGTAGCTGCCCCAGAAGTAGTAGTCACAGGGATTCTGTTTATCTATGTATTTCATAAATAATGAAATAATATATCAGTGTTTCCAGACTACATGGCCACCCTATAGGCTTCTCAATGTGGTGACACCTGTTTCCAGTTCTGCCAGTGGATGCTGCTATCCTTGTTCTACACTTGGGGAACCTAAAGCAGAGTCACTTGCCTGACATTACAGACCTATAATGAGGCAGGACTTCTGCTGCTTTTCCCAATTCTCTAGTCTCTGTGTGAACATGTCTAGTAATAATATCTAATTTTGAATGAATAATAGAATTCACTAAAATATGCTTATAGCAACTGAATGACGTATTTATTTACCAATTTATTTCTTTGGTGTTGGTCTTATTCTGCTTGGTCAATAGTAATTTACAGAAATTGATTGGAAACCTATTTTGTATATTGCTAAAGCATTTGAGGATAGTCCTGAAGTTTGGTTTATGTTTTAGTTCCCTATATTGAAAGAAAATACGCTGCTCTGTATCCCATAATTTAAAAATAATTGGAAAGTTGAGTGCATTAAACTAAGTGAAACGGAGAAAGACAAATACTATACTATATTCACCATCATCCAGAACTTATTGCTCTTATAACTGGAAGTTTGTACCCTTTGACCAATACCTCCCCATTCCCCACCCGTTCCTGCCAACCACTGGTAATCACCACTCTACTGTTTTTCTGAGTTCATATGTATGAGATCATACAGTATTTGTCTTTCTCTGTCTGACTTATTTCACGTAGCATAATGCCCTCAAAGTTCTTCCAAGTTGTCTCAAATGGCAGAATTTCCTTCTTTCTCATGGCTGAATAGTATTCCATTATATGTATACTCCACATTTTCTTTATCTATTCATCCATTGATAGATGCCTACATTGTTTCCATATCTTGGCTATTGTGAATAATGCTGCAACAAACATGGGAGTGCAGATATCTCTATGGGATCCCGATTTTAATTCCTTTGGATATACATCCAGAAGTGGGATTGTTGGATCATATGGTAATACTATTTTTAATTTTTTGAGGAACCTTTATACTGTTTTCCACAGTGGCTGTACCAATTTACATTCCCACCAATAGTGCACAAGGATTCCTTCCCTGCCATGACCTCACCAACACTTGTTATCTCTTGTCTTTTTGATGATGGCCATTCTATCAGTTATGAAGTGATATCTCATTGTAAAGGGAGGGATGTGTGACTACCCTTACTGTGGTAAATGTTTCATAATATATATGGTGTATCAAATCTTGTGCACCTTAAACTTACATAATATACTATTATAGCTCAGTACAATTATAGCTCAGTAAATCTGGGGAGAAAAAGAAAACAAAGAAAATAAAAAGAATTGTTGATTTCAGTGAAGAGTAAAAACAGAAAAAATGATATGATCTATGATATTCAACCCAAACATTTATATTAGAATAAATTATTTCCATAATGTCTGTGTAATGTTGTCTATCCTGAAGTTTACAATTCACAGAAGACTCTTATTCTATATTATTCTTTTTTCCCCCAAAATTCTACCTTCCAGAGTAGTGATTCTTTAACTTTTATATCTTACACCTTATCATAAAGTTAGGAACTTGGATCCCTGGATGGTAGAAACACAAAGCTTGCTTATTCCAAAAAAACTTTTTTATATATTGATAGGACTTTATTATTATCCTTACCATATGCACTATTTTAAAAACAAAGCAGAAACATCGATCATTGGGGGTTAATTTTATTTTTGTGGCTTTAAAATACAAATAAAAATGATTATATTAGTCTTTAAAATGTCAGCAATGGTGTTGACATTTTTACTGCTAGAACTGTAAAACATATCGATATGAAATAATATCATCACCTGAGAAGTTATGCTGATCAGTTCTCTTATTGGAAAACTTGAGGATGCCATGGGATATAATTTGAAATGGGGGCTCAAAGAGCAAAGTCTACTAACTTTATTCTTCTGTCTTAGAACTCTCACAATTAACATGTAGTCTGAACAGAAAGCATTAACAAGGGACTAGGCTTTACATGTTTCATTGCTCTGAAGATCTCAAGTGGGACAACACATATGTAAAAAAATTTCTTTAGATTATTTGGAAAAACTTTATTCCAAAGTATTGTGAACTTCCATTCTGCAGATGATTGGAATGTTTTTGGATAATGAATCTATCCATTTATACTGATATGTCCTTGACCCTCACATTGTTTTGCAGTTACTTTTGCTGCATGAACAATTGACCTAAATTTGCCATCTTGAAACAACCATTTTACTATGTTCATAGTTTTTGTGGGTCAGAAATTCAGACCAAGAACAGACTGGTTGATTCTTCTCCTTGAAGTCCCTTGAACTGGTCTGGCTCAAAGACTAGGACTGCTGAGGGGAGCAACCACCCTTGGCTATTTTGTGTGGGTTGCCTTCCTTACAGCTAGTGTCCTCTGGGTAATTAGACTTTTATGTGGCAGCACAGGGCTGCAGCCTCAAGTGTTCTAGTGTATAAGGCTGGTACTGCATTGCCTTTTACGACACAGCCTCACTGTTGTGTCCACTGTAGTCTATTGGTCGAAGGAGTCATAAGCCTACCCAAATTCAGGCAGTGTGCCCATTGATGCCTCCCACCCCCGTGCCATGGAAGGAGCGTTGAAAGAAGGGGCACATTCTAAGACTGCCATTTACTCTATATCCAACTCTCTCATACTCCTATTCAACTGTAAAGGAATTCCTTTAGCTATTTTCTCAAAGTAAAAACAGGCATATCTCATTTTGTGTGCTTCACTTTATTACGTTTACAGATATTAGGCTTTTTACAAATTGGAAGTTTTGTGGCAACCCTGCCTTGAACAAGTCTATCGGTGCCATTTTTCCAACAGTGTTTGCTCATGTAATTTCTCTGTGTCATATTTTGGTAATTCTTGCAATATTTCCAACTTTTTCATTATTATTATATTTGTCATGGTGATCTGAGATCAGCAATTACTAATTGCTGAGAGCTCAGATGATGGTTAGCATTTTTTAGCAATAAAGTATTTTTAAAAATATTTTATTTATTTAAGAAAGAGAGTGCAAGCAGGGGGAGCAGCAGAGGGAGAGGGAGAAGCAGGCTCCCCACTGAGCAGGGAGCCCGACGTGGGGCTCGATCCCAGAGTCCTGGGATCATGACCTGAGCTGAAGGCAGACACTTAACTGAGCCACCTAGGTGCCCCAATAAAGTATTTTTTAATTAAGGTATGTACATTTTTTTAAAGACATAATGCTATTACACACTTAATAGACTATAGTGTAAACGTAACTTTTATATGCACTGAAATACCAAAAAATTCATTTACTCACTTCATTGCAATATTTGCTTTATTGCAGTGATCTAGAACCAAACCCACAATATCTCTGAGGTAAGTCTATACGTGTATTTGTATAGGTTAGCACTTGGAATTAAGCAGATGCCTGTACCCCCAAAACCTTACTCCTGTGACCTGGCCTCTCCAGAGACCAGTTTCAGGCCTCCAGCTACCCGAACTTTCACTGCCCACATGTGTGCAGACTGCACTCTGTCAGCTGGCCTTTGGCTGTTGGCATCCTCCAGGCCTGTTGTGCTCAGGCTGGTCTCCAAAAGCTGCACAGGCTCCAGGGTGGAAGGTGCCCACTTCTCCAAAACCTTTCTGAGTTGGAAGCTTTAAGCCAGTGACAAAAGTGCCCATTTGGACTAGCTGCCTGATGTGGTTCTGGGCTTATCCGATCATCAATGCTCCCAGGTGTCTATATTGGAGAGTACCCAACCATGCTGGCTGCCCAACCCGCCTGGGCAGGTTAGTGCACTTTCCTCCAGCTCTGCCCTCAGGAGGAATATGCACATTGTGTAGAATAAGGCTTGGAGTTAGGCAGATGCTGGGTACCAGAAAAAGACTGCTGCTGTGTCCCATGTTCCTGGCCACCCCAACTTACGTGACATGCACATGAGCAGTACATACCCCGTCATCAACCCTGGGCAGCCAGAACCCTCCAGGCTAGGGCCTGGAGCTAGGGCCCATCCTTAACCACTGGCACATCCAAGAGAATGGAGGGAGACCTCCCCCCGAAAACCACTCTGACACAGCCACTGAAGTGGTGGCTGGGACCCCATGTGGATTTACTGTCTGCTGGAGTCCCAGGTTTCTGCAGCAATCAAAGCTTCCAGGTGTCTCTTCTTGGAGGAGACCCTGGCCAGACAACACATTCCATCCCTGCTAAAACAACCCAGATTATTCGGGCTCTGCCATCAGTGGGAATATGCACATTTGTGTAGATTATGATTTGGATTAGGCAGATGCCTTGTAACCCCCAAAGCCTGCTCCAGGTACCTGGCCTCTCCAGATGCTTTCCCTGTTTAAGTCCTTGGCTACCCTGGCCTATGCCTCCTGTGCATGCTCACTTTTTTTGCACCCACTTTTTTGCACTCATAAGCAGGCCTTGGGTAGACCTGGCACTGAAGCCCATGGAACTCTGGCCCCAACCACTCGCATACCCTCTGGCATGGTAGAAGACCACCTCCTGAAAATCGCACTGGATTGGCAACTGAAAATGACTAACAGTGTTTATATGGACTTGCTTCCCTATCCCACTATAGATTAGTACTCCCAGATGTTTTCTAATGGAGGATACCGTGTCCTGCCTGCCTGGCCCCTTCCTGGAAAGGAAGTTGAAAACCTTCCAGCTCTGCCTTGGACAGGGAGAATGTTACACAATGGTGGGCAGGCCTTGCAATTAGGCTAATGTTTTGTACCTCCAAGAACCCAGTCCTGTGACCTAGCCTCTCCCAACACTCACCCTTTTCCAGGACCCTGGCCACCAGGATCTGTGAGTCTGGTACACGCACAACACGCACACTGTCAGCTGCCCTTGCACAGAAGGGCCCTCCAGGCCTGTGATGCTAGAGCCCACCCCTAACCACCTGCATTGCAAAACGTGGAGGGAGCCCACCCTCCACCCCCCAAAGTTGCTCTAAGGGGTCTGCTGAAGTGGGAGACTATCAGTCTCCCTGTGGACTGCTTGCCAGGTGGGGTCCTAGGCTTCTGCTGCAATCAGGCTCCGAGGTGTCTCCTTTTGGAGGATACCTTGGTCAGCCAAACCCCACAAATGTGCATATTTCCTCTGAAGGCAGGGCTGGAGGAATCTGGACTGCCTTGCCAGAGTGGGTCAGCACAGGATGGTTGGGGTACCCTCCAAGAAGAGATACCTGGGAGCCTTGATTGCTGGGAACCCCAGGACCCCATCAGGCAGCCGGTCTACAGGGAGACTGATTGTTACCAGTTTAAATCTACTGCCTCAGAAAGAGTTTCCTAGTGTGCTCTCCCTCCACCCTAAGGCAATGCAGATGGTTGGGGTCCTCCTGGAGCACCAGGGGCCTGGAGTACCCCCTTCAGCCAAAGGCCAGCTGATGAGGTACAGACTATACATGTGTAGGCCATGCAGGTTCGGGTGGCCAGGGACATGGAACAGGGCAATTGTCAGGAGAAGCTGGGTAACAGGAGTAGGCTATTTGGGGTACCTGGAGTCTGCCTAATTCCAAGTCTTCCTTTAAACAAATGAGTATTTTCCCCCTGAAGGCAGAGCTGGGGGAAAGTGGACTGCCTTGCCAGGATGGGGTCAGGCTGACCGGACAGGAGTCTTCTAATAAGAGGCACCTGAGAGCCTTGATCGCTGGAGTGCCCAGGGACCCCACTGACAGCTGCTGCAAATGAGGACTGTTAAAGCCTCTGCCTCAGAAAGAATTTCAGGGGCAGGATTTCTTTGCCCAGGAGGCTATGCAGGTGGTTCGGACCAGCCAGCTCCACGGGCCTTGAGGGCACCAGCTGCCCTGGGTAGGTAGGCTGATGAGGTGCCTACTACGCATGTGTAAGCTTTGCAGGTCAGGGTAGCCAGGGACCAACAATAAGGCAAGTGTCTGGAAAGGGCAGGTCACAAGATTGACTCCCCCCTGTTGGGGATGCAAGGATCAGCTTAATTCCAAGCCTAACCTATGCAAATGTGCATGTATGTTCCACCTGAAGGTACAGCTGGAGGAGTCCGGGACTGCCTTGCCAACATGACGCCTGGGGTGCTGCCGTGGTATCCTCCAGTAAGAGACGCCTGTAAGCCTTGATTACTGGTAAGCCTAGGACCCCTCAAGCAGCTACTCCAAAAGGATCCTGACTGTTGACAGTTTAAAGCTGCTGTCTCACAAAGATTTCTGGGTTTGGGCACCGACCCAAGCTCTACCAGCCGGGAGGACCCAGGATGCCCTCAGCAGGCTGACAGGGTGTGTATTGCCCATGTGCAGACAGCACAGATTTGGGGAGCCAGGAACCCGGAACAGGCAAGTTTCTGGAGAGACACAGGAGTGGTCTGTTGGGATTCCAAGGCATCTACCTCATTCTAAGCTTAGCTTACACAAATGCACGTATTCTCCCTTAGGGCAGAGCTGGAGAAATCTGGACTGCCTTGCCAGGGTGGGCCTGCGTGGGATGGTCTGGGTACCCTCCAGTAAGAGACACTGGGGAGCCTTGATTACTGGGGAAGCTGACATCAGGGAGCCATCCTAATGGGGACTGACCATCCCCAGTTTAAAATTGAGCTATAGAAGTATGATCAGATTGTGGACTTTCTACACCCAGAGGCCGTTCATTCTGGGGCTTGGGGTTCTGCAGAGCTCCATGGCCTGGGTACCCCCTGCAGCCCGTGGGGTGTGATGATTTGAGCATGCACCACCTCGGCAGGCTGACAATGTAGGGCAAGGCCAGTTCACAGGAGCGGGCTATTTGGAGTACCTGGCATCTGCCGAATTCCAGGCCTTAACCTACACAAAGGTGCATATTCCCCCTGAAGACAACTGGAGGGCCCTGAGCTGCCTTGCCAGGTCTGGGTAGAGAGGGATGGGCATCTACTACATCTACTAACAGATGCTTGGGAACCTTAAAGGGATGGAGAAGCCAGGGACCGATCAGGCATTCAGGCCAGTGAGACTGTCACCGGATTAAAGCTGCAGCCTTGGGAAGATTTACAAGGAGGGGGCACTTGCCACCCTGGAGGCTATGCAGGTTTTGGAGAACAGCCTGAACCCAAAGGCCAGCTGACAGTGCAGACCGTGCATATGTGGGTGGCCCAGGTCGGGAGAGCCAGAGACCTGAAACAGGGCAGCTGTAGGGAGAGGCTGGGTCACAGGAGGAGCCTACTGGGGGTACTTGCATCTAATTCTAAGTGCTAATTTTCATAGATGTGCATATTTCCTCTGAAGGCAGGGCTGGAGGAATCTGGACTGCCTTGCCAGAGTGGGTCAGCACAGGATGGTTGGGGTACCCTCCAAGAAGAGATACCTGGGAGCCTTGATTGCTGGGGAACCCTAGGACCCCATCAGGCAGGTAGACCAAATGGGGACTGACTGTCACTAGTTTAAATCCACCTCAGAAAGATTTTCCTGATGTGGACTCCCTTCACATGAGCCATGTAGGTGCCTGGGGTTTTTCCAGAGCTCTAGGGGCCTGGACTACAGCAACCTATGACCAGCTGAAGGAAGGTGGACTTCCTTGCCAAGGTGGGGCTGGACCCACTGGTCAGGGTCTCCTCCAATATGAGACACCTGGAAGCCTCGATGACTGGTAAGCTCAGGAACCCCATCAAGTAGCCAGTCCAAATGGGGACGGACTGTCACCAGTTTAAAGCTGCCATCTCAGAAAGATTTTGGGGAGGTGGGCATCCTCTGCCCCGATGGTGATGCTGGTGGTTCAGACTCACCCTAGCTCTGCTGGCCTGGAGAGGACTGTACTGCACATTCTCAAGCTGTTCTGGTCAGGGTAGGTAGGAGCCTGGAACAGGGTAAGTGTCTGAGGAGGCTGGATCATGGGAGTACATTGTCGGGTATCCAGGGCATCTGCCTAATTCCAAGCACTAATCTGCACAAATGTGCATATTCCCCCTGAGGGCAGAGCTGGGGTAATGCGGACTGCCTTGTCAGGGGAGGTGAGGCAGGATGGTCTAGGAACCCTCCCATTGCATCAGGCAGCTAATCCAAATGGGAACTGACTGTTGCCAGTTTAAATCTGTGGCCTCAGACAAATTTTCCCAGAGCGGGCTCCTCCCACCCTTTCAGCTGGTTGGGGTCCTCTGGAACACAGGAGCCTGGACTGCCATCTGCCGCCCAAGGCCTGCTGACAAGGTGGGGACTCGGTGGGGGATGAGTGGGACAGGCAGGTCAGAGTAGCCAGGGACCTGGAATGGGGCGAGTGTTGGGAGAGGCTAGGTCACTGGTGTGGACCATTGTAGGTCCAAGTCATCTGTTTAATTCCAAGCCCTAACCTAACACAAATATGCATGTGGGGGCAAAAGGCAGGTGCCCCCAAATGTGCCATTTCAGCATATTATTTTGGACTAAAGTCACTTAAATAGCCAGTGCAACAATACCACTCTGCCCCTTCGTCTCTAGAAAGTAGGAAATAAAGCTCTCATGTGAAAGGTACCCTCCCTGTACCAGGATGTAAAGATAAATTTTAATTGCCAGATAAGGAATTCAGAGCTAAGAAGGCTGTGTAAACACCTTGTTACTTTTACTAATTTTACTACCCCAGCTCAAATTCTGTTAGAATTGCTTTAAAATCGAAGCTTGCAAATTAAGTTTTCTTTGTACTGTCAATTCATCACAGATGTATTGTTTCTATGTCTAAAAATGCCTCAAAGCTGCCCGCCCTCGTTGTTTGCCTGATCTCAATTTTAATATCAGGCCTCTCTGTGCACGGAATTAAACTTTATCTCCTGTTAATCTGTGTCTTGCTGATTTAATTTTTTTTTTTTTTTAGATTATTTGACAGAGTACAAGCAGGGGGAGCAGCATACGGAGAGGGAGAAGCAGACTCTCTACTGAGCAGGGAGCCTGATGCGGGGCTCGATCCCAGGACCCCAGGATCATGACCTGAGCCAAAGGTAGACGCTTAGGCAACTGAGCCACCCAGGCGCCCCATGTGTCTTGTCAATTTACTTCTTAGATCACCTGGGAGAATCTGGAAGGGCAGAGCGTAATTTTTCCTCCTCAACAGCTGTTGAGAGTCGGCAGGATAAACGCTAACTGGCCGGACTGCTGCAGCTGAGAGATGGTGGGACATCCGACGAAAGCTGACAGAAGGGAAGAAGCCTCACCACCACATCACCTACTGGATCTCTCCCTGCATGGGCTCAATTTAGGTTAGTAGGAGAAAATATTTGTGGAACTAGTTCCTTGGCTTTAAGGACTCTGGTGACGTTGGTAGAGTTCCCGTGGCTTGAGAGGTCCATTTCCATCCAGAGATGGCCACAGTTTTCCTTTATCCTTGTCTTTTGTGTCATTTGTCATAAAAAAAAGAATTACTGTAGAAAAGAACACAGGCATGGGTCCAATCAGCCTGTTGTTTGAGTTGGCCTCACAGACTGGTGAGTTCACAGTCCTCATCATACCTGCATCTGTTTAGACAAACTTTGCTGTGGGTCCTCTATGTAAAAGCTAGAGGAGGTTTATCTTTTTGTCTTGTTTCATGTCCTAAGAGCTTTGGTTTGTGACCAGTGAGAATATTCTCTCTGGTCTCCATACTCCAAGGGTTCACTTACCGGGGTGCACCTTGGTGGCCTGTCAAGTCCAGTGGGGTTCTGAGACTCACACTTACAAGCAGTACTCTCATTGTCCGCCCATGCCAGCTCACAAGGGAGTGTGTTCTAAGAGGTCCCAGCCCATAAGGGACCTTTGTCATCATAACCTCCATTAGTGCTGGAAAAATCTCACTACAGTAGGGTCTGCCCCATGTCACACATTAGTGGGTCTGTGACTACAGATGTCTCACATTTTTGTAGGAGACCAAAGGTACTGTTTTCTCTACACCATCTTTACTGCCTGTGCAATGGAGGCCTTTGCTGTCTTAGACTTTTTGGAAGTAAAATTTTGGGTCATGGGGGATGCAACGTCTATGCTTTCCAAGGATGCCTCTTGGGTCCATGGTCTAAGCCTGGAAAGTTGCCTCTGTGTCTTCCCATAAAAGTGCTTATTGGTTTGAGTTACTATTGAGATTAATAAGATCCTATTCATCATTGCCAGATGATGGATCCTTTACATTGGCTATATTTGAAAGAAAAAATTCTTTATAGGAAGTTTTCAGTTGTCTTATGGCTAGCTTTTGGGACTTGAAGATACGGAAAAAAAAAAAAATTAGACTGAAGACAAAAACTAATGTTTACATCCAATGTAAATTTCCCTTCTCAAAATCTGGCTCCATCTGCCTATTTTAATTTCCCTTTCCCAACAAGCTGTACAGAGAGCACACTGACCTAATCTCTAAGTTCAAAGTATATAGGTTATTCATGTAAATGCCGAAAGGCAAGAAATAAATTTAACAAAAGCACCCAAGACTGGCAGCAAGGCTTGCTTTCCTCCTACTTTCAAGGTCTCTGTAAATTTTTTTCTTACTTATGTAGAGCCACGTGTAAGTGAAATCTCATGGTATTAGTCTTCCACTGTGAGATTTGCTTCACTTAGCAGAATAGCCTCTTGACCAATCATGTCGTCATTAATGGCAAGGTCTTATTCTCTCTTGTGGCAGAGTAATATTCCATGTAAATATATACCACAGCTTCCTATCTATTTCTCTATTGATAGATACAGAAATTGCTTCCATATCTTGGATATTACAAAAGAAAATGAAGTGATAAACTTAAGAGTGCGTATATCTTCTTGAAGTAGTGGTTTTCCATTCCTCTGACTAAATACCCAGGAGTGGAATCACTGGATCCTGGGGTATGTACTTTTTCACTTTGTGCAGAATTGCCATAGTCTTTTCCCCTGCAGTTGCACCAATTTACATACCTGCCAGGAGAGAACAAGGGTACCCTTGTGGATATCCTTGCAAACACTTTCTATTTGTTGTATGTTTGATCCTATACAGTGTGCTTGGTGTGAGATGGTATTTCATGGGGTTTCCTAGTGGGTCTTCTTGATGATATCTGATGTTGAGGATTTCTTCCTAGGTCTGTTGGCTAGCTGAATCTCTCTCTTGCGGGGTGGGAAAAAAAAAATACTATGCCCAATTATTCACAAAGTATTTGGGTTTTTTTGGTGTTGAGTTGTACTAGCATGTTATACAGTTTGGATATTAACCCCCTATGGCATGTATCAGTTGCAAAGCACTTCTGCCATTCAACAGGGTGTCTTTCGTTTCATTGATGTTTCCCTTTGTTGGGCAAAAGCTTGTCATGCCAGTGTGCTCGCATTAGTTTATGTTTGCTTTGGTTTCTCTTGCCTGGGGAGACCTGTCTAGAAAACTATTGCTCTGGCTGTGTGCAAGAGATTACTGCCTACTTCTACTTGAGCAAGTTTGATGGTTTCCAGGGTCACCTTCGGGTCTCCTTTGCATTTTGGGTTTGTTCTTGCTCATGGTGTAAGAACATTGTCCACTGTCCTTTTGTGTGAAGCTGTCCAGTTGCCCCAGCACCACATAATGAACATGCTGTCTTTTCCCCCTTGTCTATTCTTGTCAATTATGCCCTAGACTAATGAACAATATAATGGTGGGTTTATTTCTGGGCTCTTTAGGTGGTTCCAGGTATCCATGTGTCCACTTGTTTGTGCCAGGACCATACTCTTCTGGTTATGTACAGATTTTTAGTATATCAGGAAATGAGGGACTGTGATAATGCCCACTCTGTTCTTCCTCAAGATTGCCTTGGCTCTTTGGGGTCCATACCTATTTTAGGATTATTTATCTAGTTCTGTGGAAAACATGATTATTCTTTTAATAGGGATCATGTTAAATCTTTCGATCACTTTGGGTAGAGAAGACATTTAACACTATTGATTCTTCCACCATAGGTGTTCTATCTCTCTCCATTGATTTGTGCTATCTTCAATTTCTTTCATCTGTGTTTTATGGTTTTCAGAGTAGAGTTCTTTCACTTTCTTGGTTACATTTCTGCCTTTTTTGTGTTTTTGGTTTTTTGGGTTAATGTAAATGGGATTGTTTTCTTTCTCTTTTTCCTACCTCCTTATTCTTGTGTAGAAATGCAATGAATTTATGTGTATTAATTTTGTGTTCTATATCTTTATTGAATTCATTTATCAGTTTAAAGAGTTCTTTGGTGAAGTCTTTAGATTTTCTGTATATAATATCATGTCTTTTAAAATATGACTTTTCTCATTTTTACTTTCTATGTCTTGTCTTTTTCTTGTCTGATTGCCATTGCCAGAACTTCCAGCAATCTGTTGAGAAAAAAATTAATGAGTGCGAACATCTTTGTCTATTTTTGATTATTTCAGTTCTTTTCTACTGAGGGCAATATCATGTGTGGTTTTGCATATGTTTCCTTCAGTATGGTGAGGTATGTTTCTTCTAAATTTAGTTTAGAGTTTTTATCATGAACAAGTGTTGAATTTTTTTAAATTTTTTTTTGCGGGGTGCCTGGGTGGCTCAGTTGGTTAGGCGACTGCCTTTGGCTCAGGTCATGATCCCAGGGTCCTGGGATCGAGCCCCACATCAGGCTCCCTGCTCAGTGGAGAGCCTGCTTCTCCCTCTCCCACTCCCCCTGCTTGTGTTCCCTCTCTCACTGTCTCTCTCCCTGTCAATTAAATAAGTAAATAAATAAAATCTTTAAAAAAATAGGGGTTTTTTTTTGCATCAGTTGTAGTGATCCTGTACATTTTATCCTTCCTGTTTTATGTTTTGTATCACACTGAATGATTTGCAATATTGTACTCTCTTTGCATCCCTTTAATAAATCCTCCTGTTTTTTTAATGGTTCTTTCAGTGTATTGTTGAGTTTGTTTTGGTGAGGATTTTTCCATCTATGTTCATCAGGGATATTCGTCTGAAGTTTTCTGTTTCTGTAGTATAGAAATAGAAAACTTTGTGTGTTTTCTTTTTGTCTGTATAGACAAAATTTTGGTCTAATTTTGGTCAAGGTGATTTTGATCTCTAGAGTGAATCTGGAAGTTGTCCTTTGGCTTCTATGTTATATACTGATTTAAAAGTTAGGTATTAATCTTTTTTTTTTTTAAAGATTTTATTTATTTATTTGACAGAGAGAGAGAGAGAGAGCACACCAGAAGGCAGAGGGAGAGGGAGAAGCAGGCTCCCCACTGAGCAGAGAGCCCAACACGGGGCTCAATCCCAGGACCCCAGGCTCATGACCTGAGCCGAAGGCAGATGCTTAACGGACTCAGGTGCCCAGGTATTAATCATTTTTAATTTAATGGGGTTTTGTTTATTTGTTTGTTTGTTTTTACAGTATTTTTATTTTTTAATTTATTTTTTACATCATTAGTTTTTGATATAATGTTCAGTGATTCCTTAGTTGTGTATAACACCCAGTGTTTTTATTAACATTTGGTTAACATTAATGTTAAATTAGCTTCAAGTGAGCAACATAGTGATGTAACAGCTCTTGACATTACACAGTGCTCACAAGTGCATCTCATCTGTCATCACAGAATGCTATTTCAGTACCATTGACTATATTGCCTCTGCTATACTTTAGTTGTCATGACTTTTGATATCATAATGGAAGTTTTTACTTCACATTTTCTTCACCCATTGTTTCCTTCTCACTCTCCTCATCCCAGTCCACCACCAGTTTGTTCTTTGTGTTTATGGGTTTCCTTCTGTTTGTTTGCTTTCTTGTCCATTTGTTTTGATGTTGAGATTCCACATATAAGTAAAACCACATGGTATTAGTCTTTGTCTGATTTATTTCACTTAGCATCATACCCATCCATGGGTCACAAATGGGGCATTCTCATTCTCGTCTATGGCTGAGTTATATTCCTGTGTGTGTGTGTATATATATATATATATGTGTGTGTGTGTGTATATATATATATATATATATATACACACACACGTACATAAAACATCTTTCTCATCCATTTATCTATGGATGGACACTATGTCACCTCCATATGTTAGCTATTGTAAACAATGTGGCAATAAACATAGACATTCCTATATCTTTTGAATGTGTGTTTTTGTTTTCTTTGTGTAAATACTTAGGAGTGGAGTTGCTAAAACATGGTATTTCTCTTTTTAATGCTTTTGGGGAACCACCATACATTTTTCACGGAGTTTCATAATGTACACTCCCATTAAATGTGCATGAGGCTTCCCTTTTTACACATCCTGGCCGGCACTTGTTATTGCTTTTTGATCCCAGCTAGTGTGACTGGTGTGTGATTATACCTGATTTTAGTTTCATTTTGCATTTCCTTGATGATTAGTGATGTTGAGCATCTTTGCATGTTTCTGTTGGCCGGTTGGAGAGTTCTTTGGAATAAAGCCTGTTTAGGTCTTCTGCCCATTTTTTAATTGGAGTGTTTGGTTTTTTGTGTTGAGTTGTATAATTTCTTTACAGATTTTGAATATTAAGCTTCTCTGATATATCATTTGCAAATATGTTTTGCCATTCGGTAGGTTGCCTTTTGTATTGTTGATGGTATCATTTGCTGTGTAAAAGATTTTTTTTTTTAAGCATACTCCCGTTTTTTTTTTTTTCTTTTGTTTCTTCTGCCTAAAGAGGCATACATAGAAAAATGTTGCTAAGGCCAATGGCCACGGATTACTATGTATGTTTTCTTTTAGGAGTTTAATGACTCCAGGTCCATTTTGTGCTTATATTTGTTAATGATATAAAAAATGGTTCCATTTGATTCTTTTGCATTTGGCTGTCTAGTCTTCCTTGCACAATTTATTGAAGAGACTGTCTTTTTCCCATTGACTATTCATGCCTCCTTTGTTGCAGGTTACTTGATCATACAGTTGTGGGTTTACTTCTGTGCTTCCCCTCCTGTTCCATTGTTCTATGTGTCTGTGTTCCTGTACCACACTCTTTTGATGGCTATACATTTGTCATACATTTTGAAATCAGTGATTGTGTTACCTCCAGCTTTGTTTTGCTTAAGATTGCTTTGGCTCTTCAGAGTGTTTTGCAATTTCCATACACATTTGTAATTCATTTATTTCAATTCTTTGAAAAACACTATTGTATTTTGATAGAGTTGCATTGAATCTGTAGTTTGCTTTTTGTAGTGCGGAATTTTAAAATTATTCGTACTTGTCAACTATGGGCATGTTATATATATATATATATATATATATCTCCATTGGTTGTGTTCTCTTGAATTTCTTTCATCCGTGTTTTATAGTTTCAGAGTAGAAACCTTTGTGGTTAAGTTCGTTTCTAGGTTTTTTTGTCTTTTTGGTGCAATTGTAATTTTTGTGTGTATGCAATTTCTGTTTCCCCTACTTTGTTCTCAGTGTATTTTGAAACAACCAATTTATGTATATTAATTTTGTATCCTTTAACTTATGCATTTGTTCATTCTCATGTTTTTTTTGGTGGAATCTTTGGTGAGATTATATATATATATATATAAATACATTGTGTCTCCTGCAAATATGACAACTTCTTTCTTACAAGTCTGGATTTTTTTTTTTAATTTATTGTATGACTGCTGTGGGTAAGAGTTCCAGTACTTGACAGAATTAAAGTGGTGAATGTGGATATACTTGTCTTATTTCTGATTATAAAGAAGAAGCTTTCAGCTTTTCTTCATTTAGTATTATGTTTAGTTGTGTGTTTTTCTTATATGACCTTTTTTATGTTATGTTTCTCTATACCCATTTTTTTGAGAATTTTTTATCTTGAGCAAATGTTGAATTTTGTCAAATATTTTTGTGCATCTTGGGAGATGATCATATAGTTTTTATCCTTGCTTTTGTGTTAATGTGTTGTTTTAGATTGTTTGATTTGGAATATTGAATCTTTTTGTGTCCTGGTAATATATATCATTTGATCATGGTGAATCATTTCTTTAATATAATTTTGAATTCAGTTTGGTAATAATATTTGTTTGGTAATATATTTGCATCTGTGGTCATTAGGGGTATTGGCCTGAAGTTCTGTTTTTCTACAGTGTGTTTGTCTTGTTTAGGTATTAGGGCAATGCTCACCTTGCAGAATGAATTTAAAACTTTGCTTCCTCTTCTGTTTTTGTTTCTTTTTTAATATATATATATTTTACTAGCTTGATGAAAGCATGTATTAACTCTTCTTCAGATGTTGGGAAAATTCACCTGTGAAGTCATCTGTCCTGGACTTTTGCTTCTGGGAGGTTTTTTGTTTTTTTGGTTTTTTCTCTACTGATTGTATTTCCTTTTTTGTAATTTGTTAAATTTTCTTTCTTTCTAATTCAGTTTTAGAAGATTGTGTGTTTATAGGTGTTTATCTATTTCTTCTAAGTTGTCAATATTGTTGGGATTTAATTTTTCATATTTTCTTACAATCCTTTTTGTCTCTGTGTTGTCTGATGTTATTCCTTCCTTCCTTCCTTAGTGATTCTTGCTAAAGATTTATCAATTTTATCTTTTCAAATAGCTCCCCTTTTTAATCAGACTTTTTTTTTTTTTTAGTATCTTTTTGTTTCTGCTCCAGTCTTTATTATTTTCTTTTTTCCACTAACTTTGGGACTTTTTGTTTTTCTTTTTCTAGTTCCATTAGGTGTATGGTTCAATTGTTTGAGATTTTTTTGTTTCTTGAGGTAGGCTTACGTTGCTATTACCTTTCCTCTTAGAATTACTTTAGCTGTCTTGAGAATATTTGTATCATTTTGTTTCCATTTCCATTAGTCTCCATGTAATTTTTAATTTCTTCTTTTGATTTCTTCACTGACCCATTTCTTTTTTTTTTAGTATCATGTTTAACCTACATGTGCTTGTATTTTATGCACTTGTTTTCTTGTAATTGGTTCTAGTCATATTGCTGTGACCAAAAAAGATGTTCGATAGGATTTCAGTCTTCTTAAATTTTTTGAGGCTTGTTTTGTGGCCTAATATGTCATCTATGCAGGGGAATGTACCATGTGCACTTGAAAAAAATGTGTAATTTGTTATTTTGGGATGGAATGTTCTGAATATACCTATTAGGTCTTTCTAGTATAATGTGTTTTTCCAAGCCACTATTGGCTTAATTTTCTGTTGGATTTTCTGTCTGGATGATCTGTCCTTTGTTGAGTGTTAAAGTCCCCTACTGTTATTATATTACTGTCAGATTCTCCCTTTATGCCTCTTAATATGGCTTTAAGTTTTTAGGTGCTTCTGTGTTGCGTACATATATATTTATAATTTTTATGTTCCCTTGTTTTATTGATCATTTTATCATTATGCAATGCCCTTCTTTCTCTTTTGCTACAGTCTTTGTTTTAATGTCTATTTTGTCCATTAAAGTATTTTGTCCAATCTAGTATTTTTACCCTAGACTTTTTCCCTTCCATTTGCATGAAATATTGTTTTCCATGCCTTTACTTTCAGACTATACGTGTTTTCACGTTTGAAGTGAGTCCCTTGGAGACAGCATATAAATGGGTCTTGTTTTTTTTTTTTTTTTAAAGATTTTATTTATTTGACAGAGAGAGACACAGCGAGAGAGGGAACACAAGCAGGGGGAGTGGGAGAGGGAGAAGCAGGCTCCCCGCGGAGCAGGGAGTCCGATGCGGGGCTCGATCCCAGGACCCTGGGATCATGACCTGAGCCGAAGGCAGGCGCTTAATGACTGAGCCACCCAGGCGTCCCTAAATGGGTCTTGTTTTTTTATCCAGTTACCCTATTTCTTTTGACTGGAATATTTAGTTCATTTACTTTTAATGTAATTATGGATAGGTATGTACTTATTACTATTTTGGTGATTATTTTCTGAATTGTTTCTGTAGTTCTTTTCATTCTTTTTTTGCTCTCCTTTTTGTGGTTTGATGGCTTTAGTGTTATGCTTTGATTCCTTTTTATTTTTTTGTGTATCTATTATAGGCTTTTGATTTGTGGTTACCATAAATAACATTGCATGTATATAGCAGTCTATATTAAGTTGATGTTGCTTAAGTTCAAACACGAACTAAAAGCCCTAAATTTTTACTACCCCCTCAACATTTCATGTAAATGAGGTCATATTTTACATCCTTTTATTTTGTGTATCCCTTGTCTAATTTTACTACATGTAATTGATTTTACTACTTTTGTGTTTTAACCTCCACACTGGCTTTATAACTGATTAATCAACCACCTTTACTATATGTTTTTTTTTTACTAGAGATTTTTTTTCTTTCATAATTCTCATTCTCATTCTTCAATAATTCCTTTTAACATTTCTTATAAGTCTTGTTTGGTGGTGAACGCCTTTCTCAAACTTTTGTTTGAGAAACGCCTCATCTCTCCTTCAATTCCGAATCATAACCTTGCTGGATAGAGTATTCTTAGTTGTAGTTTTTTTGGTTTTTTGTTTTTTTGTTTTTGTTGTTGTTGTTGTTTTCCTTTCAGCACTTTGAATATATCATGCCACTTCTTCCTGGCCTACAAAGTTTCTGCTGAAAAATCCATTCTTCTGCATCTTCTAATCTGTGGTTGATTCCCTCTAGTTTAAATTTTATTTCATTTATTCTTTAGCTCTAACTGGTCCTTTTAAAATATTTTTTATCTCTTTGTTGAAATTCTCAGAGTTCGTCCACTCTTTTCTCAACTCCAGTGAGTATCTTTATGACCATGACTTTAATCTCTTTGTCAGGCATATTGCTTATCTCTATTTTGTTTTGCTCTTTTTCTGTAGTATTGTTTGGTTCTTTTATTTGGTCTTTGTTTCCTCATTTTCTCTCTGTGTTTGTTTTTATGTATTAGGTAGAGCAGCTATGTCTCCTGGTCTTGACAGTGATGACCTTGTGTAGAGAGGTTCTGTAGTACCCTGTAGTGAAGTTCCCCTGGTCACCAGAATCAGGTGCCCCAGGGGCATTCCCTGTGCGGACTGCCTGCACCCTTCTGTGTGGCTGTGCTGTGATTGCTGTGGACATGCTAGTGGGTGGGGCTTGTCTTCAGCCCAGCTAGCTGTACTGACCCAATGTACTTACTCCCGGTGCTGTGGGCAGGGTTTGCTCCCTGTGCTGATGAGAGGCCTAACTGCAGCCACTGTGGAATCTGTCGGTGGGGCTGGTGCTCAGCCTGTCTGTAATTAGCCTCTACAAGAGCTGCAAGTAGAGCAATGGCAGGGCTTCATCCCTGCACAGCCAACAAGGAGGCCCAGCTGTTGGAACTGCAAGTATGCTGGTGTGTGGGGTTATCTCTTCTGCCTCAGAGCAGAAATCCCTTTGGAGGGGCCCTGGTTCCAGCCAGGGCTACCTGCCAGGTATGGCCTGGCAGGAGCTGATTTGGAGAGGTGTATTTTCTAGGGCCTCATAGAATGTTTAGATGAGCCTTTCAATTGGTTGGTGTATGTTCTCAGACAATAGGAACTCCATAGTGTAAAGCCCAGTCAGGTAAAACTTGGGGTTCTGTGGTGTTTCAGGCCACAGTGATGCTGCTGCAGACTCGTGAGTATAGGCACTCTAGTTTAGAGTCCTCATTAGCTGGTGCCCATGTTTAAACATTCTGACAGCATTTTTCAAATAAAGGCTGCGTCTTGAGTCTCTATCTAAATTCCCTGCTCTTCCTCTTTATTTCATAAATGTGTCTTAATATTATCCCCATAGATGGTATGTGCTGTGGCCAATATTCAAACAGTCCTATCAGTTTGAGCTGCTGCTTTTGTGGTAGGAGTTGATATGCAATCTATATTGTTTCTGACTGGGTGTGGTATTTCTATGCCTTCAGAGAACCAAATTTTGCCTAGGACTTTTACTGTAGCGTGGGGTCTTTGGATCTCACCTGGGTCCATTTTTCATTTTCGGAGTGTAAGGAATTCCGTTAACTCTTTTTTACTAGTCTGTTTTTTACTAGTCTTGTTTTTCCCAGTTATCACCATAAATAAGGATGTCCTCAATATATAGGAGATACTGGGTTTTGTGTGTGTTTTCATCAAAGGCCTGGATGTCTTGTGTTGGAAGGTTGTGGGCCACTACTGGGCTGCTAAGGTAACCTTGTGGTAGCCCAGCAAACTGATCTCCTCTGCCTTCCCATGGAAATGAAATCATGGGTTGGCTCTCCTCATCAATTGGAATAGCAAAGAACATGTCACCTAAGTCTCTCACTGTGTTATAAAGTCTGGATCCAGTGGTGATATTGGTTATGATAGTGCCTATATCCCAGAGTGCTCCCTCATTTTGGGGAGAGTGTTTCAATTCCTCTAATCTACTGTAAAATGATATGGCCTGTCTGGCTTTTTAACAGTCCAGCTTGGGCTATTATGTAATGAAATAGTAGGCACATTAATTTGTTCCTCTAGGAGTTCCTCAAGGTTTTCCTGATTTTGAGTATGTTCTATTACATCCACGCCAGGAATGTCTTCTGTACTGGGAAACTATAAGGCACTTAACCTCAGTGGGTGGTCTATCATCTCTTGTTAGGAATCTCCATATCCATGTCCCTGGGGTTAATTTTCCTCCTAACCCTTCCCTGAGTGCTTTGTTGTTGTTCAGTTTTTTGTAGATTAGTGGGCTAGGCTTGTATCATGTTATGAACCCTGTATCTAGCAACATGGTAGTGTATGTAATATTCTTATTTACCAAGGTGTGTCTACTGACATGGCCGGCACAAACTATGCAGCACTGTCTCCAGTATGGGCCAGGAGGGCTCAGCGGTGTGCTCTACTTCAGCTATCAGGGACTTGTCTAGTAATGGATTAGGTTTTATAAAGGGGTTGGAATGGACAGTAAATGGGTTAATGGGTCTATGCGTTTATTTTCGGTAGGTCTATTTACTCTAAAACATTGGTGGTTTCCATTTCTCTGCCACTGTTAGGGTTTTTGGGGTGTCTATTTGGGTTTCTGTCTTTATAATTTTGTGAAAGTGGGGAGGTCTAGGTGGTTTATGTGGCCAAAAGGGCCTTGGAGATTTAGGTCTATATGGTCTATTTTGATGAGGTCTATTTATATTAGGTGTAGGCCTGTTTTGTCTCTATACATGCGTGTTAAAGAAAAAGCTTTTATCTTGACTTAGTTCCTCAGCTGTTCTTATCAAGTCAATCAGTTCTCCAGTGTTTCTGGTCCCTGCAAATACTATAAATAATGCTTTCTTGTCTGTGGGAGTTCAGCTTTGTGGCCAAAAGGGCCTTGGAGATTTAGGTCTATATGGTCTATTTTGATGAGGTCTACTTATATTAGGTGTAGGCCTGTTTTGTCTCTATACATGCGTGTTAAAGAAAAAGCTTTTATCTTGACTTAGTTCCTCAGCTGTTCTTATCAAGTCAATCAGTTCTCCAGTGTTTCTGGTCCCTGCAAATACTATAAACAATGCTTTCTTGTCTGTGGGGGTTCAGCTTTTAGGATGACTTTTAAATTTGTTCTGGAGCAATGAGGGTGTCTGTCCTCTATTATAAATCATAGTCAAAGGCCTATTTCTTTTTTTTTTTTTAATATTTTATTTATTTATTTGAGAGAGAATGAGAGAGAGAGAGCACATGAGAGGGGGGAGGGTCAGAGGGAGAAGCAGACTCCCTGCAGAGCAGGGAGCCCGATGCGGGACTCGATCCTGGGACTCCAGGATCATGACCTGAGCCGAAGGCAGTCGCTTAACCAACTGAGCCACCCAGGCGCCCCGGCCTATTTCATTATTGCCTTAGCTTCCCATGCTGTTTTCCAAAGAGATGTTTGGAAGAATAATATCTTACATATAGGCCATCTTAATCTTTAGGTGGCTGCTACCCAGCCAAATCAAATTCCTTGTAAACTAGTAGTATCTTCTCCAAATGCTTGAAGGTTTTGATTAAATTTACCATCAGTACTAATGGGCCCACGTTGCACAATCTCTGCTCCTGTAAGGATCAGGTTTTTTTTTTTTTTTTGGACAGGGTTCTAGAAAGCAACTTTTATTTTGGGCCAAAGAAAACTTTAAGTTTTGGAAAGAACTAGAAAAACTGTTAGTCAATTTACCCTGAGATCTGAAGGTCCTATCTGCACATGAGCATTGGTCATCATTGTGGTTTTGTAGGAGATACAAACCCTAGAAAACCCAATTCCAGCTTCTAGCTTTTTCCAAATTCTATGCTAAATACATTTCAGACTAGAATCTTTAGCATTTCATGATGTAGTTCTTTGAACATTAATGCACAGGGATACATAAATCCTGACAAATGCTTTTTAGATTCCAAACCACTTTCATGTGTAAAAGCCCTGGTGTGTTTAACATTCAGACTGCTGGGCCCCATCTCAAGATTCTGGAACAGTATGGTAAATAATGGGGGCGTCAAGGAGGAAAAACTTTAGGTTCAGGAATTATATCCTTCACAATCACTTTAATCCTATCACTCTGTCCACTCTTTAGAATGTGTCCCATCAAAACTGAGTCTTCCCTTTTGGGGTGCCCGACTGGCTCAGCTGGTAGAGCAAGTAACTCTTAATCAGGGTCGTGAGTTCAAGCCCCATGTTGGGTGGAGAGCTTACTTTAACAAAACCTAACAAACCCTGGGTGTGTTCTCCCCCTCATTGTAAATTCAGAATATACAATGCAAACTGGCCTTTCAACTACATGTGATATCATTCTCACTTTATAAATGAAAATGTTCAAGTTAGGTATTGGGCCAAGTCCTCTAAGTGCTGACGCTCTCTTTCACACTTTCTGAGGGGAGTTGGCAGAGGGTCTCAGGCCCTCATACCCTTACTCCTAGAATCTGTTAGGTGGGTTTCTGAGGTACAGGTAAGGAGGGAGGGGTGCTAATGAATTTACACCCAGACCAGAAGAGAAAAGCACTTGTTAGCATTTAATGAACCCCGCCCAAACATGGCTTCACGCTACTAGAATGCAGGCGCCCCCGACACCCTTAATCTTCTCCTCTGCTCTTCTACTGAAGAATTTGGCCTTCACGATGACAGGCTGTTTTGGGAGTTTTCCCTTTCCCAAAACTTTGTAGTAGCCCGATCGCACCACATCAATGATAGGAGCAGCTCCAGTCTTGTTTTTGGCGGCATTTACCCGTATCTGCCCACTGACCAAGGTCCACAGTTTATCAAGGTTGACAGTTGGGCAGAAGCTCTGGTTCCTCTTTAAGTGGTAATGTCTCATGCCAACTTTTCCAAAGTAACCTGGGTGATATTTGTCAAAGTTGATCCTGTGGTGATGCATGCCACCAGCATTACCCCGGCCTCCTGGGTGCTTCCAGTGCTTGCCGATGCGGCCGTGGTGTGGCTCATGTGGCCCCGAAGTTTCCGGGTCTTCCTCAGTCTGGATGGCATGTCGGCAGCCCAGACGGAAAAGAAGGATCAGGTTTTGTCTTCTTTTGGGCCCTCTTTCATAGCCACTGGATTTCTGGGTCCAGATCCGTTTGTTGGAATTCTGTTTTAGTTTTTGTCATTTCTTACCTGTTACAATCTCTCCCTTCAGTCACTCTGATTGGTTTCATAGTATCATTTGTTGTTGTTTTGCCTATTTTCCTGGGCCTAGCTAGCCTCTAGTAAGTTAGTTACCAGGGTGAAAGGGTCCAAGTATTCATTGTCCTTAAGGTGTGGATTGGTGCTTTTAGGAACAAAGGACCTGGGTTTCTTCCTTCTCTGGAGATTACTTTTGGTGCTAGTACTTTTCTGTCTATTGGCATGTTACTTCGTGCTTCTAAGAAGTGCACTGAAAAAAAATTTTATTGCTTTTTAAAATACAGGCTATAACTCACTGCATTGGGTGATCAGGCCAACATCTGGAGTTTCCTTAATTATAAGTTTTGTCTGGACTAAGTCTTCCATAGGTCTCCAGGGATCCTCAGAAGATAATTTTATAATCCATCATACCCCTAAACCACCTCTTGGGCAATTTCGGTAGGTTAGTGAATGAGGCCCATTTGCTACTGCCCTCCTCTATTTCTGTTTAGTGATCAAGAACATATTTTATCATAGACCTCATAGAGCATTCCAAGTGGTTTATAGTATGGTAAAGAAGTATTAGTTGTTGTGGCCAGTGTTAGTATCCAAACTGTAACGGTTCTATAAATTGTGTCTATTCAAAGGCTGTTTGTAGGGGCTCCTGGGTGGCTCAGTCATTAAGCGTCTGCCTTCGGCTCGGGTCGTGGTCCCGGGGTCCTGGGATTGAGCCCCACATCGGGCTCCCTGCTCCACGGGAAGCCTGCTTCTCCCTCTCCCACTCCCCCTGCTTGTGCTCCCTCTCTCGCTGTGTCTCTCTCTGTCAAATAAATAAAAAATCTTTAACAAACAAACAAAAAAACAAAAAACAAAGGCTGTTTGTAATTTCAGTAGAATGCCATAGGTGGTAAACAGTGTATTAAGTTTGTCAATCCCGTTTGGGCTGTACCATATTTTGGTCAATTATATATTTAGTGTAATTTGTCAACCTGTATTTCAAATTTGGCACGGAGTACCCACCAGTGTTAATTATTATCTGCAAATAATAGTTGCCATTATTATTTTGCAAATAATTATTTGCAAAACAACAGAAACGGTCACCAGTTTAAAGCTGGCTCAGAAAGATTTTCAAGGGGCTGGCATCCCACCCTGGAGGCTATGCAGGCTTATGGGGTCTGCATAGCAAACCCTGCAAAATGGCAAATTAGTTGCCATTTCTATTGTTTTGTTTTGGTAGGCTAATGATGCTCAGAGACTGAGTTTGTCTTTGCCAACAATTTATTTAACAGAGGTTCACTGTGGAATTTCACAAGCTAAACACATACAAGATAATGTCTTTCAATAAAGCCAATGAGGAAATTACAGACTCCAAACCAATGACAGATGAATCAAACTATTGTTCTAGGCAAGGGGAGATGAAAGGAATAAAGTCCAAATTTAGTTGAGATGTACCTTTATAGGAGATGGTACTTGGGAGAGGTGGCTTCGCCAACTGCGACTGACGTCCAGCGGCCAAGGGAAAAGTAGAAGTCCTGGTAGCTAGCGCATGGTGCTGACGGTGATGGGCAAGGGGCTGGCTGACAACACAGCTGGCGAATCTCTCCCTTCAGTCACTCTGATTGGTTTCATAGTATCATTTGTTGTCCTTTTGTCTATTTTCCTGGGCCTAGCAAGAGCTGTTGCAAGAGCTAATTTTCCCAAGGTCTTCACAGAGCTATTTTAGATCGGCAAAGCGAAGCCTTGCCCAGACTGAACACTCTGGATGAGTCCTCACATACTGTCAGTATTTACAGTCTACACGTCTCCTTGCCATAGTTGCTTCTCCAAATATGAAGGGGGCCCCTCAGCAGCTGAGCTACTCATTGTTGTCAGAATGGATGAGATGATTCCTGACCAGCTTACTTCATTCTTTGATGAAAATAACTCTACTTCGAAAAACATGGTTTTCCTTTTTCATAAAACCAGTACACTTAAAATTAGATCAAACTAATACACAACACAGGCAAACTTGGAGGGATCTGGACTGTCCTCCCAGGATGGGTCTAGTCTGGCTGGCCAGGGTATCCTTCACTAAGAGACACCTGGGAGTCTTGATTGCTGGGAAGGCCAGGACCCCACTGGCACCCAGTCCAAATGGGACTGCCACCAGTGTAAAGTTGCTGCTGCAGAAAGATTTTCAGGAGGTTTCCTTTGCTCTGGACGCTATGCAAGTGGTTGGGGACTAGCCTAGCTCTACAGCCCGGGAGCACCTTGGCTCCCCCAGCCTGGCTGAGCAGGTGTGTACAGGGCATGTACCAGTCATGCATGTCCGGGAAGCCAGGGACCGGGAACTGGACAGTGTCAGGAGAATACAGATCTCTAGAGTGGGTTCTTAGGGGTCCATAGCCTCTGCCTAATTCGAAGCCCTTACTTAAACATATGAGCATAATGACCTTGAAGGCATCACTGAAGAAAACTGGATTTCTAGGCCAGAGCCAGTAATCAAGGCTCCCAGGTATTTCTTATTAGAGGATGTCTCATCAGTCCACCAGGCCCCCCCCTGGTAAGGCAGTCCAGTTTCTTCTATCTCTGACATACACATTTATGTATGTTAAATCTTGAATTGAGGTGGAATCCTTGTACCCCTAAGGGCCTGTTCCTGTGCTCCAGCCTCTCTCGACAGTTGTGCTTTAACAGGTGTCTGGCTACCTTGAGCTTTACACCCAGCATATGCACCCTTTCAGATGCGCTTAGGCAGCCAAGGCCCTCCAGGCTTTTTTTTTTTTTTTTTAAGATTTTATTTATTTGCAAGAGAGAGAATGAGAGACAGAGAACATGAGAGGGAGGAGGGTCAGAGGGAGAAGCAGACTCCCCACCGAGCGGGGAGCCCGATGCGGGACTCGATCCCGGGACTCCAGGATCATGACCTGAGCCGAAGGCAGTCGCTTAACCGACTGAGCCACCCAGGCGCCCTGCCCTCCAGGCTCTTAAGCTCAGGTTGTTTGAAACCACCTGCACAAACTCCAAGGCAGTGAGAATTCACCACCCCTCCCCAAAATCTTTCTGAAGCAACATTTTTAAACAGGTGACAGTCCCCATTTGGACAGGCTGCCTGATGGGGTCCCAGGATTACCAGTATTGAAGGCTCTGAGGTGTCTCTTAGTGGAGAATGTCTAGGCCAATACCCCCCCGCCCCCCAGCCCAGTCATAGCAAGGCAGTCCGTATTCCTGCAGCTTTACCTTCAGGAAGGTTATGCACATTTGTGTAGGTTAGGGCTTGGAATTAGAGGAGTTATACCCCCAAAAGCCCACTCCTGTGACCTGGGCTACTGCAACATTTGCTCTGTAGTAGGTCCCTGGTCTCCTTGATCTGCATGGCCAATGCACCTGCAGTACATGCCAGTCAGCTGGTCTTGGGCAGCTGCGCCCTCCAGGGCTTGGGAGCCTAGGCCAACCCCATAAGCCTGCATAGCCTCCAGGGTGGGATGCCAGCCCCTTGAAAATCTTTCTGAGCCAGCTTTAAACTGGTGACCGTCAATCCCCATTTAGTCTAGCTGCCTGACAGAGTCCCAGGTTTACCAGTATAGGGGCCCAGGGATGGCTGCTCCCCAAATTTTCCACAATGGCATATTAGTTATTTTGAATTAAATTTACTTAAGAAATGGGGTAGTAAGTAATCTCCTGTGTGAAATAAATCCCCTGTGTGAAAGGTACCTTTCCTGCACCAGGAGGTAAAGAAATCTTTTTCTTTTCCAACAGTTTATGGAGTGAGCAGGACAAACTTTCCTGGCTGGACATTGTTCATTGATGAGCTTTCCGGATCTCTGTCTGCAGAGTCTAATGGAGTGAGAGCCCTTTTTCTCTTTCTAAATTTATTGCAGAGTCTAATGGAGTGAGAGCCCTTTTTCTCTTTCTAAATTTATATTAGCTATTCCTTTAGGTGTCACAACTCTGGTAAATTTGGTGGAGTACTCTTGATTTAACTGATCTATTCCCTCCCAGAGATGGTCACTTTTTCTTTGTCTCCATCTTTTGTTTCGTTATAAAAAGGAACTAGCATAGGGAAAGAATGCAGGGAATAGGCCCTTATAAGCCTATTGTTGAAGACAGCCTTACAGACTCATGAGTTAATAGTTCTCATCAGACTGGCATCTGTTGAGATAAACTTTGCTTTGAGTCGGCTATGTTAAAACAAAAGAAAAGGGTTTTTTCCTTTCACATTTTTAATGTCCTGAAACCTTGGCTTTGTGGCCACTGCCATCTGGAGGGTGCCCTCACTGTGGTGTACTGTGGTGGCCAAATGGACGGTTTCTGAGGCACAGAGTTACCAGCGGCACTCTCTCTGTCCAGCTGTGCTCAGGGGAGTTTCTCGTGCGAGGTCCCAGCACATAAGGGAACCCTGTGGCCCCAACCTTCCTTGCTCCAGCGGTGCCCGCCTGGTGGCACAGGTCAGTGAGCTGGTGCCTGGAGGCATGCCACGTATTGATGGGAGGCCAGAGGTACTCTTCACTACCCTAGCCTTACAACCCATGCAAAGAGGGCTTTTGCCATCTTAGATCATTTTGGGGAGAAAACTTTTGGATCATTAGGGCTGATCATCTTTGTCCTCTCCAGAAACACCTCTTGTGTCCATGGTCTAAGCCAGGAACGTTTCCACTGGGTCTTTCCATAAAAAGGCTTATTGGGGAGGGTGTGTGCTATGGTTGTGTTAAGTTGTGTTAAGACTGATGAACCACAGACATTTACCTCTAAAACAAATAGTACATTATATGTTAATAAGAAAGAAGGAAAGAAGGAAAGAAGGCTTATTTGAGTTGGTATTGAGATTTAAGATTCTACTCATGAATGGCCAAATGATGGATCCTTTAGATTAGCTATATTTGAAGGAAAAAATTCTTTATGGAGAAGGCTTTTTTTTAAGAATTTTTTATTTGAGAGAGTGAGAG